CTCCAGCTCTATCAAACAATCTGAAATGGTAGGAAACGCATCACACTGCTAAATCCTGCCAAAGACGTAACGCAGAACTACCATCCCATTAGCAGTGCGCACTTTAGTCATTTGTATGAGCATACTTTGGAAGGAAGGCCGTTCATCTGGATTAGCGTTCCAGCCGGCTGTCATAAGATTGATGAGCGTTTCTCTGCTGGGGATGTCTGCGGACAGGCTCTCCAGGCTGGTGTCAGGACGCAGACCACGCAGCACGCTGAACATGATCTGAATGCCATTGGTCACCTCTGAACATAAACACACACATATATTAGTGACTCAAAAAGGGTCAAGTAGGAACAAAGTATGATGTGAAAAAAAACAAACCCCAAAACGAGCAGTTACCTTTAAACGGGATCTGCCTGGACAGCACCTCCCACATGATGATGGCATAGCTAGAATCCAATTATCAAAGAGGAAAACAGTTAAGGGAAGAGTTACTAAGTTGCCAGATATTGGCATTTCCCCTTATAGTTGAGGGACTCTACCACAAGCCAGCTTCAGGGATGACTCTCAAAGCCATGACTGATTGACCCGTTGCAGCGAGCGTAACCTCTTGCGCAAAATTTACAAAGACTGCATCAGCGGAAAGTAGAGCTCTCTTATCAAAGCAGAAAAATAATCTGAATTCCTTTTCTGACAGACTCGTGGATCTCAACAGTTAGGTCTGATTTTTTTGTCTGGCACGACTGATTTAGCCTTTGACACTGGGCCCTGCAGTGGTATGCAAGCAATGCAAGCTGAGGCAGGAACTCCGTTTCATCTTTACAGGAAGGAAAGCCTCATTTCCCTTAACTGCTTATTGTGCTCAACAAACACGGAAGTTATCAGAGTTTATAGTAACACAGATAAGTCATAGAGACTTTTTCTGCTAAATCTTCAGGGAAGGATGTACATTTTGAGACTGACTTCTACATAATAGTTACTGGGTTCTGGTGTCTTACCTGTACATATCGTGCTTCACGTCGGCCCGGCGGCTCTTGGATGGTTCGTACTCCTCAGGGGGCATGTAGATCACTGTACCCTCAGCTGGCTTGGACCCCGAGCCTCTACTCACTGACAGCTGTCGCCACTTCGATAGGCCAAAGTCTGCAATCTGGAGAGAAGCAGAAAGTTAGCAACCGCAGACAGACAAAGTTATACAAAGCCAGTTTTACATTTTACGAGTCTTAAATTAATTCGTGACAAAAAGTCAAATAAGGTTGATAACTGCAGCGGGAGGACAGCCTTTTGTATAATAACGGATCTTTAAGGGGAAGTTATTATGCCTTTCTTATTTCCTGTTACAATGGTGGATACTGAAACTGCCCTAAATAGTCAGTTTCAGGGAGGTTTTTTCTCTTCTACTGTTATCTCTATCCCCTCTTACTGATACTGTATTATCTTTATGTGCTCATCTTAGGCACACAGCGCTGAGTGTCAGCAGACTAGCACCACCCACCTGCTGTTTGAACCTTCTGTTTGTGAGGGGCAGCCAATCAGAAGAAAGTTTAAAGGAGAGGAGTTTGTTTTACAGTCCAAAAGCTTAAATATGGAGTTGATATGAGTATAATATATTCACTTTAATTAGGCCATGAAAGAAAAAGAAATCAGTCTGAACAACCTGAAAAATATAGTTTATACTTTTTATGCTAATAAAAATTGTATGTTTCATAAAGAGTAGCAGATAAGCAGTACATAGGGTATGTGCAGCTTATCCACTATGTCTAAGTTAGTCTGGTAACGTACACAATACATGTGACTATAACTGTAACCACCTAAGCAGCTGTAACCTTTTGTTACAGCTCCAACAAACACACTGACACGGTTGAAGGTGATGTCATAGATTTTCCTGTTCTGCACGCACCTCATACTTATCGCATACCTTAACATGAAATTCACCATCCAGCAGAATGTTTTGGGTCTTTAGGTCGTGATGTACGAGGGGTGGGTTCATGTTGTGAAGGAAGTTAACCCCAAGGGCGATCTCATACAGAATCCTCAAACGCAAAGGCCAGGCAAGAACAGGGTACACGTCCTTCTGTAAGGCAGAGATTACAAAGATGGGCTAAAGATATCATAAATGTAAATAAAAGAGGGAAATGTGGGTTTTACTACAGTGAAAGTACAAAACAATGCAAGAGCTTGAAATAAAGACTGAAAAAATTACTACACTCAGCCCAGTGGGAATTTCCCTTGTGCATAGCTGTCTGCTTCCCTCAGTGCTCGGCTTCTCTTTCCCTACTTTCTTTTATGTTTCATCAGATACTAATTACTTCGAGCTTTCGCTTTTGTTTATAGTCCCGCTGAAAGGAAAAAGAGTCATACACTCACATGATGAGTGATGCACAAGAGAGAAAAACAACAGACCAATGCAACTCCATCAGCTGACCTCTTTTGGCAACAAAAATCCAAATGCAACAACTATAAAACCTTCCTTTTTTCCAGTGTGTAGTCTGGGCAACTCTCACAGCTAACAATCTAAACCAGAGAAAACTGGTGCCACTCAGTGGCAATCTAAATGGTTTATTTAAGGGTGCATTGCTCAGACTAGAAGAGTTCCTAGTGATAGGAAGTGAACTTGATGAGCTACCTCATGGAGTAACCGGTCCAGAGATCCATTGCTCATGAACTCCGTGACTATGCAGAAGATACGAGGCTCATTGCAGACACCAAAGATCTGGATGATGTAGTTGAACCTGGCTTTGTGGAGTACCTCGGCCTCCTTCAGCAGGCAGTTCCTCTCTCTGAAACACAGCCAGACACAGAATAAATAACAAAAACAAAACAGCACTGACAGCACTTTTGTGATAGTGAGGTAAATGAATATTTAAGATAAAATCCTTCTAGAAACACAGACCAAAAATGCCGTATACAATCTTGCTGAAACTCTTGATTACACAGAGAAGTAAAAATGTTACACGCAGAAATCTGAGATTTTCTCACTTGTGAATTTGTGCAGAGATGTTTAGAATGACCCATTACTAGGTGACCAATAAATACCAAACTGAGTCATGATGTCTGGACATTTGACTGAAATCCAGTTGGCCTGGTTCACTGTTGTTGTGAACAGTTTTGTGAAACAAGCTTAAGAATTTCACATTAAAAGGTGGACTTAATTTTATAACAGAGTGGTATATTTGCATGCTTCCAGAAATAAAGAATGAGTGTAGGATTTAAAATATATATATATATATAATTATATATATATTTATATTGTGCAGTTCAGATTTGTGTCAGTCTGAGCAAACTAGCCCTCCAGCTGGAAGTCACTGGACACGTAAGCCACAGAGACTCTTTAGCCTTTTTCCTGCCAGAGGAATGAAAAACCTGCTCGAGCACTCTGAACACATTTCATTGAAATGTACAAGAAGGCCTCACATTTGACTCAAATTAGGTCAAGTGCTGCAGCTGTTACTGTGGAGTAAGTACAGGCAGACTTTACTGCATCATCCTGAAACAGCACAAAGTTTTTCTGTAGTAGTGCAATTCATCGATAAATGGCTGAAATGTGTCTCCGTGACCTAGACCTTGTTACGCGAAGTTGCCTGATCGGTGTTGAGTACCTTTCTATAACTGGAGAGTCGAGCTTCAGGCACTTGACGGCCACAGTGGTCCTCCAGTCGGAGTGCTTCCCCTTGAACACGGTGCCGAAGCCCCCTCCGCTCAGATAGTACAGGTCCGTCAGTTTATTCTGGGGGATCACCGGCAAGGTGCTGGTCAGGCTGCCGATATCCAAACAGCCCGCAGTTGGCTCCATAGCAGTTTCTGAATCCCTTACGCGAAGTCTCTCAGGATTTATCTCTCACGGGGTTGGCCAATAAAGGCAGAACTACCTCTTTTGGTATAAACGCAAAGAGGAACTGCGCTCCCATTCACATGCATTCCACAACGTAGCCGGCTGCTAGCAGGCTAAGCTACCATTAATGTTGCAGAGGAGGAGGCGAGCAGACAAAACAGAGCAGCCGATAAACAGCGAACCCGCTGACCGGCGACAGCTGTCCTTCACCCAGCGACTACAGTTAAATGTGCGCAGGACCCAAAGCGAAACAACAACAAGAAGAGCGCAGCTGAGCTCCGCGCTCATTTAAGCAGGTGCGTTTGTTGTTGCTAATGACGACACGCTTCCGGCTTTTACGAGATGCGTTCACGAGGGTAGGTTTGGAGAACTTCAGACAGTTGACCCCGTTTTCCAAGCAGCCCTCTGAGCGCATTCAGAATCCCAGTACAAATATGGATAACAGCGAGGTAAGTCTAGGAAAAACACTGAGGAGGCACGCTGTTAAAATACCATAAATCATAAATGAGCCTTTACCTCAACTTTAGTTTCAGTTTCGCTGATACAAAGCTCCTCCTCCTGCGGCATGAACCCAATTGGTAATATTGGGATTTTTAGCAGCGGGAATCCCCCCACCAAAAAACAGGGGCTTTCCTACAGATGTGTCGACGCTATAAAGACATGTCAAAATACGATGTTCGTCTCATGTGATCATAAGTAGCACTTTCTCTTTTCAGTAGCAGTATAGGTTTTAGTTTTAGTTGAGAGAACTTCGGTTTAGACATCCTAGTTTAGTTTAGGAGTTTAGGATCTTATACAAACTCTTCAAATAAGACAGTTAAATGCATGATGTCTCAATAAATTTATTATTATTATTGATTTTTTTATGTGTTTATAATTTGATCGCTCCAAATTTGAGTTTACGTGATAATTGGGCCTTTTGGTAAGTCACAGTTAGTGTTAATTTATTGAAATTATAGGTATTTTTTGTAATAAATTTGACCTTTTACAAGTCCGTTGTTAGGATTTACTGAAACAGGATGCGCCCTTTTTGTGCTGTTGGATGAGACACACCATAAAGCACATGACTCTGTGTCCCTCTGTAATCTGAAACCGAGAACAGACTTTCAACAAATCAGGTACTATGATACTGCTTACGTGAATGTCACACAAACTGCCCTGTGTTTTTGATGAGCCAGCAAGAGTATGGAGTGAGACAATCCCTACACAGATCAGGTGGGAAACAAAGCTTGATTCTATAAAACCCTGTGCTGTAGTTCCTTCACCCGCTCTGACTCACTGGAAGTGTTTGCACTGATCCGCTGTAAGTACACTACCATGCTCTCTGTGCATGTACATGTGGTTCCCCCTGTGTTTATTCTAATTCACCATGTGTCCTTGTTCACAGTACGTCACTAAGACCACCACGGATAGCTATTCCATTTACTCCAGTACCTTTTCCAGTGGACTGGGTCAGCGTGAGCAGGCCTTGTTGGAACAATGTACATTTCAAATTCCTTTAATTTTAAATATGTTTATATTGTCTATCCTGTAAAATAGTCAGATGTCTATTCTTATTAATGTACAGAATTCACCTGCTTGCTGCTACTACTGCACATTCACCCAATATATATATATATATATATATATATATATGGAGGAGAGGACAAAGTTCACAGTAGGAATTTAAAGGGAGGGCTCTTCTTTTCCTGCAGACAACAGGCCTGATGTAAAAAAACCCAAACAAAAAAAAGAAAAACCAAAGAAAAAAAGGATCTCAGATTTAGGGGTTTCCAAAATTGTGCAATCATGTATTTTTAAGTAAGCACATTCTTACACACATATATATATTATATGTGTGTGTGTGTTAGCTGCATAATAAAACAAGTAAAAGTCGCATGTTCAAGTCAAGAGAGCCAAGAACAAACTGTGCAAACTGCATTAACAAGGGCAGGACCTTAAAAGCCTGCAATAAAAGCTTGTTGGATTTTTACCTTTATAAATAACATCACTGTTGGCTAAATTTCAAACAATATTTGTTTTTTTGGAAAGGATTCAGCTGTGTGGGCAAAAAATGAGTGAATTACAAAAGTTGTAATTGCTGATGCTGAGGGTGTGAGTTGAACACGCTGCCTTCACAAAGGAACACCAAAGCAGGCCACGCCACGTGTTTGGAACATTTCTTTTTATCGGATTTGGGTTTTGCATCTCCTTTCAGGATCAGTCAGATTAGGCAGATGTGCAAACCGTTACACTGTGGAACCAGAGGAACTCGTATCATTTTAAAATTTGTCTAGCAAAAGAGAAAGAAAGGGCTGGAACAGGAAATAAAACAATAAAACAATCCTCTGATTGTTTCAGCATGTCTGTTAGAATAAATTGGTTCATTCGAGATTTGTCAGCTACCGGAGTTTTGTGTTGGCGCTCTACCTTTGGGAATTCCACACTGGACTGACGTGGTTTTGTCTTAGCACCACGGATGAAAGTCGTCATCAAGGAACTGAAGAAATAAAACAACTAGTAAGAGAGAGCAGCTGTTGGCTTTCTAAATAAAGAACTTGTCATCAATGATTCAGGTTTAATTTTATAATATGCATGCGGCTGCCTGAGCAGCATTGCTTGTAATGACATCTCATTCAGTTCTATGCTGACGTACACCCAGACAGCAAGACCAATCCACTCACTCTGAGAAAACCTGAACAACGGTGACAGGAATTATATTGCAGTTTACAGTTTGTTGTGAGAAGAGGGGTGAAATACGCCACCCAGACTTTCTTAATGTGTTATAAATGCTTTATTACAGATCATCTTATTGACATTACAGCTGTTTTTAAAGGATGCATTTACAATGTTCCTTATACATGTTGTACTATCCTGCTGCTCTTGCTCTTATGTGCACCTGAAATACACGCGTACAGTGTCAACTTGCCAAGGCACTCAGTGCAAACCAATACGTGTGTCTGTTATTTGTCATATAGTCGTCTGTGTTCTGTAGGTTTATAAAATCCTGGTGGCGGGGAGTCAGGGAGACAGCTGGGTGATCTTCAGAAGATACACGGACTTCTGCAGGCTCAGTGACAAGGTGAGAAGATATCGTGCACCTCAGCAGCTACATATTAGTAAAGCAGCCTATACATTCATGGTGGTGAAATGACGTGCCGTGAGGAGCCCGGAGAGGCTGGAGGGGGTAGATTATATATGGCAAATGCTTCAGCACTTGAGTATCAGTGACTATTACTTTGCTCGGCCAGTCTTAACCAACAACATTTTTCCACATGCAGTAAAAGGATGGTTTAGCTGCATGTGGATGTGCATGTGGATTGGTTTGAGGGCTGCAACAATCTGCTGCCTGATTTGTTCAGTACGCTCTCTTTGCTGGGCACACATGTTGCACCCTTGAATTGGGGAGAATATAACTTGAATTAAGGACAACACAGCGACTGTTCAGCTCACAGCCAGTATATTTAATGACAGGGATAGAACCAGCACTCCCCCTACAGGTGTATGTTGTAGGTGGAGTGATACTGTGAAGCTATCAAACTCACCCCCATAAAGTAAATTAGTCAGACTAATGAAAAACCTATAAAGTGACATTTTACCTCATGCATTTGTCCGATACACATGCAGACCTTGCTGCAACTGTTCTTTCATTTGCGGCACCGTGATTCAGCGACGCTTTCGGCTCTCATTGATGTAATATTGTTGCCATAGTGATTCTGGTTTCCCGTTTTTGCCCTTTTTGCTCGTCGCCTTGACGCAGCTTCAAGAGCTTTTCCCCAGCTTTCATCCAGCCCTGCCTCCTAAGCGCTGACTCAAAAACAGCTATGACGAGGAGTTTCTAGAAGGGAGGAAAGCTGGACTGCAGACCTTTTTGGAGAACCTAGTGTTACACAAAGAAGTCCTCAGAAGGTGTGTGTGTGTGCATGTGTTGTGACTTTTTTTCAGTACTACTCTAGTGGGTGACCTGAATCGTGTTTAATTTTGACCTGTACATAAACCCCTTTGGTTCCCCAGTGAAGCTGCAAGACGCTTTCTGTGTTTGGTTGAAGCACCGAGTCCGTTTGACAGCCTGGAGGAAAGCAGGGTGAGGACACGTTTCTCTCAAAGATATTGTCTCAGGGGTTGAATGTAAGGAACGTTGTGTATCTCAAACACCCTCTGGCCTTTTGTGAGAGTCTCGAGGAAACTCACCTTCGTCTTCAGAGCGAACTCGCGGACAAGCAGAGAGAAGCCGACAGGCTGAAGAAGACTTTGGAGGAGAGAGAGAACTGTCTCAACCTGCTGCTAAAAGAAGCCAAGTAATTATGTTTCTGTTGCACAGCTGGAAACACAGTAAAGCAGGAGCTGCATGCTGTGCTGAAACTGTTCATTTCCCCCGTCTCACACAGATCCCCGTCACTTTCTGCTGAGAGCTCTGAAGCTTCAACAATCACCACCCCCATAGACAGTGACACAGAGGACATGCAGTGACTGACATGGACAAAGAAACAAACTGTAAATAACATATCGAACCAACAAATGTAATCTCAGTCACCTAACACTGTTTTTTTTAAATGTCGGTGTTAATGATCAATAATGTTTTCTGTATCTTCTTCTCTAGGTGACAGTAACATGTGCAAGTGGTCATCAGACATCCTGCTGGTTCCTCTTAAACCCAAGTGCACAAGAAAGTCTATGATGTGACCACCGCAGTGCCGAAACAATCATCAGATGCAGTTTAATCCAACCCCTGCCATGCATATGTTTATTTGATTCTTTTCAGGGTGTCACTAAGAGTACTACCTCAAAATACCAAGCACATAGAAGTCCCATAATGTGTATTTACAGCATATTATGCTGCCTAATGAGGGGGGAAAAAATCCCTATTTATTTTTTTATTTCAAAGTAATGTATTCAATTCATATCGATGACAATGTTTCATTGATCTTGAATTTTAGTGAACACAAGCTCTTTTTGAAGCATAGGAAATTTGAAAAAACAGAACGACCACAAGGGGGCACTGTAACACAATAACAGTTTGAGACAGCAAAGATCTGAGTGAGAGGGACACTGGGAACTTGATGTTCTGTTCTTATCTCGCACGGGGAAATCTCTGTAAGATTTAAGTGCAGAGAAGCACAAAAGCAGGGGAGAGATGTTTTCCTCTTCAGTAGTGAATAACAGCTCGCAATCAATGAAGGAAGCCTGTGTGAATGTGTGTGTGTGTGTGAGAGAGAGCTCCACATCCATCCAAGTAAAGCCTCATTCATGTGCCCCCGTTATCACACTGAATGGCCATGTTGTTTCCTTTCACTCATTCTGTTTGAGTCGCTGAATAAACCAGATATGTGTGGCTTATCCGAGGTCATGAAGGCTACTTTTATGCTGCCGCTGTGAGCAGGTTGGTGCTTAATTATTAGATTTGTACAATGAAAACATTCGACTGGATGTGAGTGGGTTGTATAAAAAAACAATCGGTGAGCAAATTAATAATAATAATAATAATAATAATAATAATAATAATAATAATAAAACATTCACTGTGAAAAACTGGTTGTCCATAGTCAGATATATAAACACACTTACAGCTTGCTTGGCTGCAGAAAAACGTTCATACTCTTTACAGGATCCAGTGAGTCTGGCCACAGCTTACCCAGCAGCTGTGAAATATTCTTTTGAGGTGGGCAGAAAGAATTATGTATTTCACAGTGTTACTGCATGAAGAGATGCAGGCGGCTTCATAATTAAACCCGTTTGTTTAATTATGAAGGACAAATCAGGTGGCAAAAAACAAAGATTTAATGATTTATTTTATAGTTTTTATCATTTCTCTGATTGTTTATTATCGGTCCATTTGCTTAAGGTTATCAGGGCCGTGGGAGGGAGGCGGTGGAGTGTGAGGGTGGTGGTTAAATGGTCACTGTTTAGTACAGGCGTTTGTGGCCTCCCAAGACTTTCTCTGGCACTGACACTAAGTTTGAAGTTTTACGAACGTTGTCCCTGTAGGATGGATTACTATAAAATTTCCAACCATCCATCCATTAGTCAATAAATTTCTTAACCACTTGTCCAATTCAATTCAATTCAATTCAATTCAATTCAATTCAATTCAATTTTATTTATATAGCGCCAAATCACAACACAAGTCGCCTCAAGGCGCTTCATAGATACAGAGAAAAACCCAACAATCATACGACCCCCTATGAGCAAGCACTTTGGCAACAGTGGGAAGGAAAAACTCCCTTTTAACAGGAAGAAACCTCCGGCAGAACCAGGCTCAGGGAGGGCGGCCATCTGCTGCGACCGGTTGGGGTGAGAGAAGGAAGACAGGATAAAGACATGCTGTGGAAGAGAGACAGAGATTAATGACAGATATGATTCAATGCAGAGAGGTCTGTTAATACATAGTGAGCGAGAAAGGTGACTGGAAAGGAAAAACTCAATGCATCATGGGAATCCCCCGGCAGCCTACGTCTATTGCAGCATAACTAAGGGAGGATTCAGGGTCACCTGGTCCAGCCCTAACTATATGCTTTAGCAAAAAGGAAAGTTTTAAGCCTAATCTTAAAAGTAGAGATAGTGTCTGTCTCCTGAATCTAAACTGGAAGCTGGTTCCACAGAAGAGGGGCCTGAAAACTGAAGGCTCTGCCTCCCATTCTACTTTTAAATACTCTAGGAACAACAAGTAGGCCTGCAGAGCGAGAGCGAAGTGCTCTAATAGGGTGATATGGTACTACAAGGTCATTACGATATGACGGGGCCTGATTATTTAAGACCCTGTATGTGAGGAGCAGGATTTTGAATTCAATTGAAGGCTGGAGGGGAGCTGGAACCTATCCCAGCTGTCATGGGGCGAGATGCCTGGACAGGTCACTCGTCTGTCACGAGGCTAACTCAGAGACACAGACAATTATTCCCGCTCACATTCAGAAGGAGAACATTCAAACTGCACAGGAAGATCCCAGCCGGCTGGTGGATTCGTATCCAGGACCGTCTTTTTCCTTCGCCACCATCAGCAGGTTAAGTGTTATATACTTAACATTGCAGTGGTTAACATGTGTGACTTGCACATGAAAGATCACAAGTTGGAAACAGGGAGATGACATGAACCCAGCATCAGGGAGCCACAAGTTAGTGCACTCCCAGTGCTCCTTCCAAGCACTGAGGTCTATGTCAGGAAGGCTTCCAATGCTAAACCCACTATGTGGATTGATTTGCTGTGGCGACCCCTTGGAAAATAAAAGACTGACTGAAAGTACCGTTATACTAATGAGAAAATGTCTAAACTAAGGTTTTGAACCTGATTAATTTTTCCTCTTAGTATTTAGTTCATTGAGTTGAGTTTTTAAGATATTATCATTATATTATTATAAAGCATGTATAGAAGAAAACAGCTCATCCAGACTTAAATAAAAGTTAAATTGAATTAAACTTTGACCGCTCTTTTTAAAGATGCCTATTACAAGCAGCCAAATCAAATCTTGGCCTTGACTGTCTCACTACACTTGTAAGAAATGGCCACTTGCAGTGAGAGTTATATACAACTCCATTTCTAAAAAGGTTGGGATGTTGTATAAAATGTCAATGAAAACCAAATACAACAGTTTTCAGATAGAAAATAGAACAAAATAGAACAATAGAACCAGAAACCATGTTAAATGTTTAAACTGAGATGTTTCACTATTTCATGAAAAAATGCTTATTTTGACTGTGATGTCAGCAACACGTCCAAAAAAGTTGGGAAAAAGCTGGAAAAGTAAGTGCTGCTAAAAAGAGGCATTGAGGAATATTATGTAACTATGCAAGTTAACTGACAGCAGGTCAGTAACATGACTGGGTATAAAAAGAGCATCTTAGAGAGGCAGAGCTTCTCAGAAGTAAAAATGTGCAGAAGTTTACCACGATGATGTTCCTCAATGTACATTTGTAAAGACAGCAATAATCTCATCTACAGAGCATAATATTGTCAAAATGTTCAGATAATCTGGAGAAATCTCTGTGTGCAAGGGACACGGGTGAAATATTGGATGCCCGTGATGTTTGGGCTCAGAGAGCACTTCAGTAATAACAGGGAAATCACAGCAGGAACACTTCCAGAAATCTCTGTCTGTGAACACAGCCCACAGGGGCATCCATAAATACAGGTTAAAGCTCTAAAATGCAAAGAAGCCAAATGTGACAACTATCCAGTAACATCGCCATCAAAGCTCCTTTAAATGGGTTGATGCAACCTGGAAAACTGAAATCTGAAATTTGTTATCAACTTGTCTTCAGCCTTTATCTCTGATGGTATTGAGGTGCATTAGTGCCTATGAAAATCATAGTGTCCACACCTGGAAAGGCACCATCGGTGCTGAGAAGTTTATGCAGGTTTTAGAGCAATATGTGCTCCAATACAGAAGGGAAGGTCTTGCATATTTCAGTAAGGCAACGCTAAACTGCATCTGTTACAACAGCACGACTTCACCGTAGAAGGTGCTGAACTGGCTGCCTGCAATCCAGATATTTCACCAACTGACAACATTTGGAGCACCGTGAAATGGAAAATACAGTAAAGAAGACCCAGGACTGCTGTGCAGCTATCACACAACTATCAGACAACATTCCTCTGCCAGAAGTCCAGCAGATGCTCTCCTGAGCTCCCAGATGTTTAAGGACATCTGGGAACTTCCTCAGCTTACCCATTTGACATGTTTTCTGTGTCTTATTTTAAATAAAATACAGGTTTATGGCATTTACATATCATTGCATTCTGTTTTTATTTGCAGTTTAAAAAGCATCCCAACATTTTTGGATGTAGTAATTAATATCATATTAGATAGTAATTCTTATCCAATTCAGGATTGCAGGGAATTCAAATTTACCTGACAGAGAACTGCAGCTTATTTTTGTTTATCTCAGAAATGCGTGACTCGAAGTCTGCATTCAAAGCCAGAGCACAGAGAAACTTTGTAAACTTACCTGCCACGTGTGCATCAGTGTATGAGGAGACGATGGAACACCATAGAGATTCATTTATCACGTTAAACCTCCGGTTATTGCTCGCTACATCTGTTTGTAGAATCAAAAACTTGGCACACGCTCCACAAGAAAAACAAGACAAGTGAAACATATATGAGAAATGCAAAAAAAGGAGTAATTTCACTTTCCCCCTGTGATTACTCCCATTTGTAAATGACTGACTCTATACAGTTGATCCACTTTCATCACAAATGACTCAAAAACGTTCTGGTATTACATATCATATCATATTAAAAACAGGCTTCGATCGATCTTAATCTTAAAGCTATTTGTCAACGTGATGGGACAGAAAGGCTCTTTATATTGTATACACGAGACACAGACCAGCTATACTGGAGAGGTTTTCAATCTTTCTGACTTTTGATATATGGGTATATTTTTTTCTTTCAGCAGTTCAGAAATGAGTTGGATTCTAAGGTTTTATGTGAGAATCCCAATGAGGTGGGCTGCTGCTGACCCGTGTTTATGTTCCCACACTCTTTTTATTATTTGGGTAAATCCTAATGTGCCTTTAAGTTACACTGTAAACCCGAATAAGTTACCAGAACTCAAAAAAATTGAGGCAATCGATTGCCTCAATTTTTTTGAGTTGATCAACTCAAAAGCCAAATTTTTCCAGAACATAAAAGTTTGGATTACATGGTACTTGTATCTTTTGAGAACGGTCAACTCAAATATTTGCAGTTAATATGACTTAAAGTTTCAAGTTTACAAATTCAAAGAAATAAGTTCACAGAACTTATAAAAAATAAGTACACAACTACAACATTTTTATGTTAACAAAACTCAAATGTTTATTAGTTTGTGTTGTCATTATTTTAAGTACACGTTAGTCAAATATGTTGACTACTTGATACTTAAAAACATGTGACCCAAAACTTAAAATTTTTGAGGCAATTGATTGCCTCAATTACACTGAGTATCGGTAACTTAACATGCAAAAGTCATAAACATCTGCCATTGAACAGTATCTTGCCTGCTCACTTTTAGCACTATGTTGAAATTAAATACATTTTTAAAAAAAAAATTACATAAATTAAAAATAATTAACAAAAACATTTATAAATTAAAATAAGTAGACCAAAAATTGTTTAGTCAGGAAAACTGTCAGAGTAATGAAAAATAATAATTAATAATATCAAAATGTGCTTTTGGCTCTCTGGCTAATATCTGAATAAGACAACAAGGCAGCAATTTGAGTGAATTACAATGCTATTTGTTTTACATTAACCAGTATCAAACAGTGAAATTTAGGTCATCTTGCGCAGCCCACAATGTTTTGGAAATAGTATTACGAAAAACATTAAAACATACAAAACATTAGTGTTGCTTTGCATTATGTTAATGAGAACAAAGGCACGTTGTATAGTTTGGACCTATTGGCTGAACACCTGTAGAGTAATCTAATAATGTTTTGAGGCATTATTTAGATGAAAGGAGAGAACTTTGAACTAGCCTTTTATAATGCTTCACCCTGCATCCTTCTTTCAGATGAGTTCCTACATAACCAAGTCATTCTTGAGGGTCTGTAACCTGGGTGACAGTTTACCACTTTCTAGACCAAATAAAATCTTTTGAGTAAATTCTAAAGTGTTGGTCAGGCCTTTGGGGTAGCTGAGGGGAAGTGCATAGATCAGTCCAAACATTACTAGGAAGGCTTCACCAAATCTGGGGAGACTGAACACGGCATCACTTTCAATGACGACAGAGATTTTCACAGGTTGGTAGTGAACTGGACTTGTTGTGTGATGGTCACTGATGACAGTGAAGAGGGCCACTTCAACACCATCAAGCTCCAACTCATCAGATTCGTCCTGAATTAATGAAAAAGAGATACTAATCACAATCTAACCCAAGAAATACAACAGACGACATATAATTTCTCATTTTACCAACTCCCACTGAGATCCAATACCTCTTTTACAAGGGAGACCTGAGTCTCACTGTAAGAGGTGAAAAACAGAAGATCCATGTTCTGCACACATAAATCAGCTAATTCACCAGAGAATCAAGTGGTGTGAGATAGACTGAAACTAAGCTAAAGGAAATACACAGGAAAATGTTTTACTAAACATCTTATCACTTTCAACAAAACACCAATTCAGTTCATTCGTAGTGAGGAGACAGAAAAGACCATACATGGAAACCTTATGGGTAGACTAAACAAAGATAAGTCCAAACAGTGCATCAAAATACATGTTTGTACTTTGATGCACTGTTTATATACACAGTAGTATCTGTTAGATACTTAAGGACACTCACAGTGCAGGTTCTGAAAAATCCAGAGACATCCTCATGCAGATAGACAGGAAGGGCAGGGAGAACGGTAGTGCGCTTGGTGTGGATATCATGGATTTCCTATTTCCAGATAAAAACAGAATTTTATATACTGGTGAGTTTACTGAACAACAACAAAAACAACAGTCAAATCAGAACATATGTCCACAAATAACCTGTTCACATCTTTAATACAGTCAGACAAATAGCAAACACAAAGTGGAGTAATAGCAAAATTCAAAAAGCTCATTTAAATCATTGAACCTGTCCAATGTTCCACTGGTTCAACCTATGAAATGTGTAACAATCTATTATTACCTGTTCATTGTGAATTCTTAGAATTTCAACCAGGGCATCTGCTGTCTTCCCAGTTTTTGATGCCCTGGCTGAATAAGGTCATCAGTCGAGGAAGATGGCGGTCAAGTTCAGCGTAGAATGTATTGGGCAGGTTCTGATTTGTAATCCGCTGAAACTCTGCATACAACTACAGCAGAAGAACAATACAGTTCAATTTGAAGAATCTCGCACATCTTTATAAAGCAGCAAAAAGCTGCCACATGAGTAAGAATTACAATTTTCATTTTAAACAGAGCTGATCCATATTACCTCAGACTCCATTTTTAGAGCAGGCCAGAGGTCCGAGAGCTCCTTCACAACCCTAACCCTACACATATAGTTTAAAATATAGCGTTTCTAACAAGAAAACTGCTTGAAAGCACTCTCACTGCAGACAGGCATCTCCGTTGTGTAACTGCAGGGACAACGGGCTTGTTTGGACCCAACTATTCTGAGTCATGAGAGGGGGTTTAAAAATTTAGAGAGATTAAAATACTTTGTTTCATACTAGGCGACCGGGCGCCACCTCTAGAGCAAGTAGTATCTAACTTTTTAAACAGCCTGCGACCGTCATTACAACAACTTAATGCTAGCTCTGCAAGCGCAAAGTTTCCTTCGGGGAGAGCAGCAAAGCACATAAAAAACACGGACCGACATTTCTGCTATTCTTTTCGACACGCACCCAAAATACAACTAAATATTCGTATTTTAACAATAAACTAATATCAACATTGAAAACTTACTGTAAGTCCAGTGATGCTAGTTGCTGCCATTAGGTCCAACTTTCTCCAGTCGTCCGTGTTGCCTCTTTGGTGCTGTTCCCGCCCATATACCTTTACTTCTTCTGTGTTTCGTATTAATGCTCATTAGCGCCGCCTTCCGCTTCGGAGGGTGAATCAGAGATTAACTCGGAATAAAAATTGATTCCTGCAGCTGCTCAACACTTACGGAAAAAATTAAAAATATATATGTAGGACACAGTGATAAAACAATGAATATTAAAATAAATACATTTTGTCTTCCACTAATGCATTTAAGACAATTTGATTTTACTTATTTGGTGAAACACTTTGAGATTTTATTGTATTTTAGCATGTGCTACATAAATTAAGTTTATTATTAAATCCTACCTACTTGAAACAACAAAAATAACAGGACTTTACCATTCTTATATGTCCTAACTTAACTGTGTTACGTTGTGCTTAAGTTATTATTTTAAGTGATGCTTACTTAATATAGAAATAGTTCAATTCAATCAAATATTATTAGTTTCATTTACTCAAAAAGAAGAACATGTTATACGAACTTGACATATTTAAGTTAACAGAACTTTTTAAAGACTTTGAGTATACACTACTTAATCTGTTTAATTACTTTGAACATTCGGGTTTACAGTGTACTATACATGGCATATTTTGCCAAAAGACCCCAAGACAATGAGTTTTTGTACTTTGGAAGCCCACCATGCTCCTGGTATGCTGTGTTATCTTCAGGTAATTTTATTAAGCAAAACTATTTAGAAATATGTTCCCAGAAAGCACGACTTAATCTCAAAGAATAAATGTTTCAAAAATTGTTTTTGACACAGGTTGTCTCTGGGCCAAGGGATTAGGTACAAAAGCAGGGCCTCTATGAAGTTCTTCTCAGTTTTTATTCCACTTGCACAAACATGAAAAAATAATAAAATTTAAAAAAAATAAAAATAAAAATCCTCCACTTACCACAAACTAACAGTAACACATGAAAACCACAGGATCTGGGGCCCTCAGGGCAAGTTTGAAATCCAGCATCAGTGTGGTTTTAAAAAAAAGAAGCTGTTGTTCTTGCCGTGCAGATGCTAATGTTTAGTGAATATTTTTGCAATGCCAACAGCAAAGCAGGGGCTCCGTTGGAAAAAAAAAATCTAGACCATTCTTTAATATAATTTCCAGGTTTCTCTAACGGAATATCACCATTTTAACATAGAGCACACGAGGAAACCATACTGAGGTGGCACGGCATACGCTAAGAATACATATTCAACTGTTTCCAGTGAAAACCACAGATGCAGGGAGCACTCTCTGTGATGGGGAGCCAAAATATGTATACATATATATATATTTATGTTCACATAATCCAGCAATTCCCATCCACCCAGAGTATTGTAAATGCAACAATTTCACCCCATTGATGTAAGGACCCTGAGTCCACCCACCAGTTAGGCTTCTGTTTGAATGCAGGCCAGCAGATGTACACAAAGCAGCTGTGCAGGAGGGAGTGAGGCTATAATACAACCGCAGAATTTGCACTCCTGAAGTCCAAAGTTGTCCTCTAAGGCACAATTTTTTTCTAAATTAGCATTTAAAAAGAAAAGGTTTCTGTTATACTGAATAAAAACACCATAAATGTGTTAAAATAGCTAGAGAATTGGGATTTGTCAGCTTTCATTGACATAAAATTCACTTAAAAATAAAAAACAAATTATATTTTTAAAACTTGGTTTTCTTTTCACAAGCATTCACAAGCGAGGAAAGCTGTGAGGACAAGGTTAAAGGGCTGATAATTGACCTTATACTGTACATCTGTTCCTTGTAGAATTCCCCGTGGATCTTTTCACAGTCCCGAACACTCCAAGAAATCATTTCCTCTCATTTTTCATGGTCAGTTGTTACATTTGTGCAGTTTCACAAGAGTTACATAAGTGCAGATTGCAAAATTGGGTTTGTTTTGCACCATCATAATCATGCAAAGCAAAATATTCCTTTATGTTTGATTCTTTGTATGGACTGTGCAATACCACAAAGCAAGTGTAGTTTCTTGTTATTTGTTGTATTTCAACACTGTCTGCTCCAAGTCTGTGTCTGCAAGGGTGAGAAAATACACCTGTGAAGATCATAACCTATTTAGTGGTGGTGGTGGGGAGGAGGGGGGGGGGTTGCTTTGGGGCTCCACAAGACCAATAAATCCGCCCCTGTCTTTTTCAATTTAGTAATTTCTCCCGTAATTTCTCAGTGTAGACTGACTGGTCTTCAACCAGCTTCTGCTATGCATCGAGCCCATCACGTCGCGAGTGCGTGTTTCAGTCCTCGTTCGCAGACCACCTCCTCTTTCACAGCCAGAGAGAAACCTGAGGGAACCAACCAGCCAAGGCGTACGTCACTCACAGATTTCTCCTCCTTTAGCCCCTTAAAGTCCGATATTTATCTTCTAAACGTTAGACTGATTGTTTTTGTTGTTGTTGTTGTTGTTTTTTTGCACCATTGTCATCAACAGATCTCATCATCATCATGAGGAAGATCACCGGCAAACACTTGTTGTGCTTCTTCCTGCTTGCCTTGCCGATGTCCTGGGCAGAGGACACCAAGAAGGATGTGCGGAAAAGGGAGAATGTGACAGGTAAGGATCGATGAGCACAAACCTGATTTGATGTAGTTTTTATTTATTTATGATTATTATTATTAAAAAGTGTCGTGAGGCTGGAGCCTCACCGACAATACCGCTGTTTACAGTGCTGGATAGATAATGACACAGAGTGGGTCTGTGGGTCTGTGTGTCTGAGGACTGAGCACTAAGTATAAACAGATGCGTTATTCTAAGCAGACTAAAAAAATCATTAAAAACCCCCCAATAATTAAATAAATAATTACATAACTAAATCCATCTGAGAGGAGGGATCTCCTTTACGACCCGAAAATAGTAAAACTTAACGAACTCCCAGTCCAGGCAGCACACACGCTAAAGCTTTGATAACAGCAGGATTTATTTCAGCATTGTTAATGCATAGCATTGGTTTACAATCGTTATGGGGGGAGGGGGGGTATATGTCACATATTTGTCACATTTTGTAAATTTATCATTGTGTTTTCAAATTTAAAAAAGCAACCAAATTAAAATGAAGATGGAATGATCTGAGATGAATTCTGAGCTTTGGGCATTAAATGACAAACAATGTCCACCAGGTTTGTCTAAGTCTGGCTTCTGTCTGTAGAGACAAGCTCACCTGTAATATAGTCAAAAAATAGTTTTTTTCACCATTTTCAATATAACTTGAGAATATAAACAATAATTGTATTTTGCTCTTCAAGAAGCTGCCGTTGCTTTCTTCATTGTAATGCAACAACAAAGTGATCTCAAGTGTTTTAAATGTCTGCGGATTATTATTGGAGAAGCATCCCTGCAGTGGTCCACGTAGTGTAGTAGTAGTATATTATGTTTATTAGGTGAGCTGATCATGTGAAAAAACATTATCCAGTCATGCTGGTGGAGAACTGTTGAAGTTTCACGGGGCGGATTAATAAAACGAACTAAATAAAACCATAACAGTTGTGACACAGTGAGGTCAGAGCCTCAGACACCTCTACACTGTTAGAAAAAACATCTTAAAAAAACAGTAATATTCCGGCAGCTGGGGCGCCAAAATAATACCGTAAAATATCAGAAAATAACTTACTCATAAAAATACGGTTATTTCCAGTAATGAAAATACAATTTGTTGCCCTAATTTTACATGGGATTTTGCCTTTTTCAAGTGCTTTTAAACATTAAATTAGGAACAATTTAATGTGATTAAACAATGAAATTACCTATAAACAAGGTCAATGAATGCGGCGATATAAATCATAATACTTAAATGTACAGAAATATACAGTTAACAGTTGGTTTAAATAATAATGGATTGCATTCATATAGGGCTCTTTGAGACCCTCAAAGCGCCTTACAGTTCCACTCTGGCTATCACCAGTAGGTGGCAGGTGAGGTGTCTTGCCCAAGGACACAACGACCGAGAGCGTCCGAGCCGGGGCTCGAACCTGCAACCTTCTGATTACAAGGCGAACTGCCAACTCTTGAGCGATCGCCCTAAATGACAACAATGATAATAATTATTTGATTTAAAAAACGTTTATAAGAATCATTTTATATATTTTTCCATAGCATTACATACATTTGAATTTAACAGTTCAATCTTTCAAATAACGGACAGATATTTGTGAAATCATGATACATTTGTGAATGTATTTTAACAATATTTAAAAAACAAGAAAATTATGTTTTATTAGATTACAGTGATTTTACGTTAATTTACATTTGAAATGTGAAATCACAGTCTATTTATGTGAATTTAATGATATTCTAGAAGAACAATACAAAACTGTAAAATACACAGTAAAATACTTTTATATTAAGATTTTGTTTTACAGTGTACAATGCCTTTAAGAGCCCGTTTGCTCTGGTGATGTGAAAGGAGTAGAACACCCTTCACATTTTTTCTTAGAACAAAACAATTCTGATGCTTTTCAGGGGAAAACCAGATGCCAAACACCAGAGACACATTTAAATCATAGCTATTTATTTCTTTTTAAAGACAGTATTTCTTCCCTCTGATGTTCCAGCATGATAAGAGTTTGCAGCTGGAACACTGGAAAATGGGCTGAATATTTACACATATAAAATGATGATTAATGGTTCCAATAATCATTTGCAACAGTAGATGGTTTAACGCTAACCCTTTTCCTTGAGAAACAGCTCTGGAGTGTCAGTGTATGCTGGTAGCATGTAATGAGTTCAACCACAGTGTTTGTGTGCATTGTGCACTGTGGTCTCATAGTCTAGGGGTTAACGCATTTCCCTATTTTGATTCTGCAGAATCAAAATAGGGAAATGCGTTAACATGCATATGCATCACCTCGCATGTGAGATGATGCATATGGTAAATGGCCTGTATTTATATAGCGCTTTTACTAGTCCCTAAGGACCCCAAAGCGCTTTACATATCCAGTCATCCACCCATTCACACACTGGTGATGGCAAGCTACATTGTAGCCACAGCCACCCTGGGGTGCACTGACAGAGGCGAGGCTGCCGGACACTGGCGCCACCGGGCCCTCTGACCACCACCAGTAGACAACGGGTGAGGTGTCTTGCCCAAGGACACAACGACCAAGACTGTCCAAGCCGGGGCTCGAACCGGCAACCTTCTGATTACAAGGTGAACTCCCAACTCTTGAGCCACGATCGCCCCATCATATGCAGCCTTTTCAGCTTGTCTACTCCTTGTGTTCTCAAGCCCAGATGAATGACTATGTGAGGAAGGTCTGGTGTGAAGTCTCTGCCAAATCAAGTGTTAAAAAATTGTATTTCCATTTGGAGCAGCTGAAAGTTTCCTGTTTGCATGTACTGTTAATAGAAAAATGCATATTTAGGGCCCCTAACCTCAAAATGATTGTGATACAATTGAAAGTATTTACAGCTTGATTTAGAATTCTTGCTTTTAAACAGCAATATGACAGATGCTACACCAACACAGCATCACCTTTTGACATACAGTCTAAACCACAGTTACAAATGTGATCACTCAGTGTGTGGATATCTTATAATCAAGTGGGGAAAACACTTGGCTTTAGCAGCCAATTGCTCTATTAACATTTAAAAGAGGCTGGAAAAGTGAGCTAAATATGATTGAGCTACACGGAAAACCAACCATCTGATTTTCATGAGAAAGCAGGAGTGAGGGAAACATTTCAAATGTAAGCACAGAGAGGACATGGGAGATGAGAGTTCATCATATTTTCCTGCAGAAGATTGATGGGGGACAAGACAATTTCAGATAGCGTAGTAAAATAAAGATAAGATCAGGGTGCACACGAGAATCTCGGGAACAGCAGGAGGCACAAGAAAGGGCGTTTTCCACAAATGTGGCTGATATAGTCTAAACATCTGGTCAAAAAAAGAGAATCGCCCCAAGGTGTTGCGCTGCACCTTTTCTTACCATCCAGCACAACACCTTGGGGCGATTTTTATTTTTGAGCAGATGTTTAGACTATATCTGTGTTGTGCTGGATGGTAAGAAAAGGTGCTGCAGCTATCAGTCACGGGGCAGAAGGAAAGAAGTCATAGCCAAAAGAGAGGCTTTTTGATTTGTTGAACTTCTGCAGCATCTGGTATGGGAGGGTGAGTGTGTTGCTGGTGCCAGTATGTGAAGTGAGTGGTTTGAAAACGTTGTTTCGATTATGATCAAAAGAATGTCCAGGCTGGCCGAGAGTCAAATAATTCTGATTTCCAGTGGAACGTTGGCTACCTTCTCTGCCATTTCTGTCTGTGAAAAAACCCCCCAAAACAAAACACCTCAGTGTCTTGGAGTCTTGGATGCGTATCACATACCAACACGCTTTAAAGCAAACATCTCTTTGTCAGTGTGCCCCAGGGCAGCTGTGGCTACAATGTAGCTTGCCATTGCCAGTGTGTGAATGTGTGTGTGAATGACTGAATGTAGTGTAAAGCGCTTTGGGGTCCTTAGGGACTGAGTAAAGCGCTATACAAATGCAGGCCATTTTATGTCCATTTGTAGGCTTGGCATGGCAAAATAATTTGGAGGAAGAAAAGAAACCTGCTGTGCTGTTTTGACTGGACTTCTTACAAGTATAAAGCAAAATAAATGATTTAGCTCTAAATGTGTAAAAATGTTCTCTTGCTTCACAGCCAAGAAGAAAAAATCAGTCACGATTGACAGAAACTCCCCTGCTGAGGAAAAGGAGTTGTAGATGTTCAGCTGATTGGTCATAAATCTTTCCTCCTACTAGACTATAGATGATCCAGAAAGAAAAGACGATGGAGATCTCAAAGACAACAAATGAGCAGACTTTGAGAAAACCTTTTTAGTATTTACTTAATGATGCATATAAAAAAACATTAGCAAAAATAACCTTTTTTTTCCTTGCATCCATGCAAGCACAGACTATAATACAATTGAATAAAATGTATTATTGTTTTTAAAGCCCTCCACAAATATGATGCCCACATTTTCTAGTCAGTAAAGCTGGGTTTTCTTTGGCTTGTTTTGAGGAAAAATATGCATATTGTATAAATGTCCTGCTCTGGACCCCAGTTACTGTAAAACAAGCCCGTGCTCCAAGTTCTCCGACTTTGCCAGCTGTCAGCTTTAACCCCTCCCCCTCCTGTGTGGCTTCAACTCTGCTCTCGCTGTTGGTTAACCATGGCTGGTGCCCAGACACTCCCTCCAACAGGAGATCCTGGTTTCCTTATTTCATAATCTAAGGGCCGATTCTTGTAGTATTTAGTATTAGTCTTAAAATATTTACTATTGTACATATTTACAATTTTTAATCATGTATTGTGCACAAGGGGCTGCATTGTTGAAACACTGAATTGATCTTTTGACTCTGCTTTTATTTCCATTCCCAGTTTGGAGCCAAGCGAAGAATAGGCGGCTGTTTGCAAGGCAAAAGATTTCTCCACCACGCCAAAGTGTCACTCCCGTAAGTTTTTACTGTCGACTCTATTTGTCATAAACTCCCTGATTTAGTAGTAACACTAAAATTGCTCCTTTTAAAAGTATTCAGAGGTAGTTGCTGACATGTTTCAGTGACACGCCCTTAGTCTTTGTAAAGATGTTCCTGAAAATGCCTTTTTTGGTTTGTTAGGCAATTTTTTTTAATGTGAGGCGAATTTATAATCCTGTTTATTGGATTTGAAAATTTGCTGCTTGCTTTCCATTGGCAGGAAAACGCCAGACAGCAGTGAACACATGTGACATGCAGCAAAATGTGGTGACAGCAACACAACCCAGTTTTCCACAAGGATCAAATTTCCCACCAATGAAAACGTAGCACATCACAATAATTTAACAGTGATGATAGAAATTCAGTGTGACCTTAATCCTGCCCTCAGTGTCGTGAACTCACTTGTTGTAGTTTTTTATATTGCTAAGACATATTTCTTGAAACCATTTTGTTAAAACAATACAAACGAATCAATCTTCAAGCTATCTCTTGAAAACTCCATGCAGAAAACCTCCAGTGAAACCGAACAATTATCTATGCAAAGTTTGAAATGTGCTCAGATCAGTGTTTTCACATCAGCCTAACAATCAAGGAGCTCTTTAACTTTTAGCTGTTTTAGCTGTCTTGAGACTGTGTTTTAGCATGAAAGTTAGCTCACGGGTGAGATAGAGACTGACACCAACAATTGATGGCAACAAGAAAGGCAGAGGAGGAAGTGTCTGTGTAAGAGGATGATGAGAGAAAGATCAGGAAACTCAGATGAAATTTACCAGCTGTTTAAATACTTTTGTGTTCGTGGAGTTCCAAACCAGATGAAAAAGAAACGGAGAACCAAATGACTTGCATGTGTCACATTTACGTTCATTAACAAAAAAGTTTTGATTCATTCATAATAAATTCCTGTGTTGAGCTTATCCCGGCTGTCAACGAGTCACTTGAAGTTTAAGTCCTGCTTTCATCGTCTGTTTTGAAATTTTTGTAGATTAATTAGACAACCACAAAAAAGTGGACATTGTTTTTTGGAGCTACCCGTTAGGAATACCACGCTGTTGATGTAGCGTAACGAGGGCTCAGAAGTCTTATTTCTACTTGGTTGAAATGAACTGGAAAAGAATGTGTGGTTTTTATGGACGGATAAAACTGGGTTTTACGGGTGGGGTGAGAGGCTGGAGAAAAGGGTGGACAGTTAAACAGCTTTGCTCTGGCAATTGTGGAAAGTGCATCAACCTACGTTAGTTGTTTTTTTTTTACAACTGCTTTTTGTCTTATAAGACTCGGATTGAGTCACATGACTTTCACAGTTTTTTGTGCCACATAATTATAAATCAGGTATCTAAACTACCCAGTATTAAGAAAACTGTAGAAAGAGGACACTTATGAATGAATTACAGCATGAGAAATAATTTGTAGAGGATGGCACAGTGGTCATCTGCAGTGACTGACTGAGGGTGAAGGGATGGAGACAGGGCAAATGACCCACTGTGGACAAGAGCCAGAGATTAATAATAACAAATCATTAAATGCAGACTGGTGTATAAACACATAGTGAGTGAAACAAGGTGAATCAAGAAGAAGCGCACAGTGCATCATGGAGCCTGCAGCAGTCTAGACCTTTTGTAGCATAACTAAGTGAGGATTTAGGGTGACCTGATCCAGCCATAACTATAAGCTTTATCAAAAAGGAAAGCGCTTACTCTAATCTTCAAAGTAGAGACAGTGTCTGTCTCCACAAACTGGGAGCTGGTTCATAGAAGAGGAGTCTTGAAGATGAAGGCTCACCCTCCCTTACTTTTAAATATCCTAGGAACCATCAGTAAAGCAACAGTAAACATACTGTCAGCACGGCAAACCGTGTGGGAATTATTAAAGGACCCAAGATGCAGGCACTACTGATGTGTGGGCTTTTATTGAGGAGGATGACATACAACAAAAGGCGAGGGTGGCGAGAACAGAACTGACAAAGCCTAAACTGGGAAAACTAAGAATATAACAAACCTGAAACCTAGAGACAAAAACAGACCCGCAGGGAGACCCAGACAAACCAGCAACAGGCAGGAGAACACACAGGGCTTAAATACTCACAGGAGTAATCATGGGATGGGACACAGGAGGGGAACACACCTGGGAGAAATCAGGGCTGACGAGACACAGACGTCAGGCTGAGAACACTCACATGAGACACCGACCTTCAGAATAAAACAGGAAACTCACAGACACAGAGACACAGACAAGACACTGAACTTACCAGATAGATTTACAAGCAGACAGTGTGACACCATGGACAGACAGAGGGAACACAGAGAAGTGGGAGCAGGCAGGCAGGCACAGAACAGAAACCTAACAAATGGCAAACTTTAACAAAAGACATAATCAGAATAAACAAGAACATAGAATATTATAAGGAAACACAAAACACTGAGTCGTCAGACTCAGAACCATGAGCTAGACCCAGCAGTCTTAGCTAATTATAGGCCAATCTCCAACCTTCCTTTCATATCAAAAATCCTTGAAAGAGTAGTTGTCAAACAGATAACTGATCATCTGCATCTTTGAAGAGTTTCAGTCAGGTTTTAGAGCTCATCACAGCACAGAAACAGCTTTAGTGACGGTTACAAATGATCTTCTTATGGCCTCTGACAGTGGACTCATCTCTGTGCTTGCCCTGCTAGACCTCAGTGCAGCGTTCGATACTGTTGACCATAATATCCTATTAGAGCGATTTGAACATGCTGTAGGTATTACAGGTACTGCACCGCAGTGGTTTGTATCATATCTATCTAATAGACTCCAATTTGTTCATGTACGGTAAATGGAGAGTCCTCTTCACACACTGAGGTTAATTATGGAGTTTCACAGGGTTCAGTGCTAGGACCAATTCTGTTTGCACTATACATGCTTCTCTTAGGCAGCATCATTAGAAGACATAGCATACATTTTCACTGCTATGCAGATGACACCCAGCTCTATCTGTCCATGAAGCCAGATAACACACACCAATCAGTTAAACTGCAGGAATGTCTTAAAGACATAAAGACCTGGATGGCCGCTAACTTTCTGCTTCTGAATTCAGATAAAACTGAGGTTATTGTACTCGGCCCTGAAAATCTTAGAAATATGGTATCCAACCAGATTCTTACTCTGGGTGGCATTACCTTGGCCTCCAGTAACGCTGTGAGGAACCTTGGAGTCATTTTTGACCAGGACATGTCCTTCAATGCACATATTAAACAAATATGTAAGACTGCTTTCTTCCATTTGTGCAACATCTCTAAGGTTAGAAATATCCAGTCTCAGAGTGACGCTGAAAAACTAGTTCATGCATTTATTACTTCCAGCCTGGACGACTGTAATTCATTATTATCAGGATGTCCTAAAAACTCACTGAAAATTCTTCAGCTAATCCAAAATGCTGCAGCAAGAGTGCTGACAGGGACTAGAAAGAGAGAGCAGATTTCTCCTGTTGTGGCTTCCCTTCATTGGCTTCCTGTTAAATCCAGAATTGAATTCAAAATCCTGCTCCTCACATACAGGGTCTTAAATAATCAGGCCCCATCTTATCATAAGGACCTTGTAGTACCATATCACCCTATTAGAGCACTTCGCTCTCGCTCTGCAGGCGTACTTGTTGTTCCTAGAGTATTTAAAAGTAGAATGGGAGGCAGAGCCTTCAGTTTTCAGGCCCCTCTTCTGTGGAACTAGCTTCCAGTTTGGATTCAGGAGACAGACACTATCTCTACTTTTAAGATTAGGCTTAAAACTTTCCTTTTTGCTAAAGCATATAGTTAGGGCTGGACCAGGTGACCCTGAATCCTCCCTTAGTTATGCTGCAAGAGACGTAGGCTGCCGGGGGATTCCCATGATGCATTGAGTTTTTCCTTTCCAGTCACCTTTCTCACTCACTATGTGTTAACAGACCTCTCTGCGTTGAATTATATCTGTCATTAATCTCTGTCTCTCTTCCACAGCATGTCTTTTATCCTGACTTCCTTCTCTCACCCCAACCGGTCGCAGCAGATGGCCCCTACCTGAGCCTGGTTCTGCCGGAGGTTTCTTCCTGTTAAAAGGGAGTTTTTCCTTCCCACTGTCGCCAAAGTGCTTTCTCATAGGGGGTCATATGATTGTTGGGTTTTTCTCTGTATCTATGAAGCGCCTTGAGGTGACTTTTGTTGTGATTTGGCGCTATATAAATAAAATTGAATTGAATTGAATTGAATTGACACATACAGTACTATGAGGTCTTTAGGATAAGATGAGGTCTGATTATTTAAGACCTTGTATGTGAGAAGATCACAGAAGAAAAGCAACTATGCAAGAAATACGCTCGATCTTTCTAGTCCATGGGTGTCAAACTTAAGGGCCTAAATTCAGGAAAGAATAAATGTGTAATTAAATGTTATCATATTGTTAGAAAGGTGAATTTCCATCTTAAGTGGTCTGGCCCACTTTAGATCAAGTGCACTGTATGTGTTGTCCTATGATGTAGGATGAATTTGACTCCCTCTTATAGTCCCTGTCAGAACTCTCGCAACAAAACGTGTTTCAGTGAGTGAGATTTTTCTTAAAAGAGTAAACAGGACTTGTGCCTAAATTTAAAAAATAACAACAAAACAAACTGTTGAAGCTTTTGCCAAAAGGCTGATTTAAAAAAAATCGTTTAGTAATAACAGTGAAGTTAATGGCTGTAAAACCGAAACAACACTAAAACGCTTTGTAGAGCTGCCATGAGTCGGGGGGTCAAATAGTTCACATGTATTTAAATGACTTTCCACTTCTTCCACTGACTCGTGCTTTTTCCACATATTCTGTCTCTGTTGGAATTGCTTTAGAAGCACAAGTCGAACCTCGTAACTCCGGCGCGTCGCTGCGGACGCTTGATGGAAAGCTGCTCCCCTCACCTGCTGTGCTGCGACCCCTGCGCCTCCTGCCGCTGTCGACTCTTCAACACCATCTGTCACTGCTGGAGGATGAACCCCCTCTGCTTAAAGAGGACCTAGATGCAGCACGCAAACACATCACAACGCCTGAACATATATTGTGGTTGACAAAAGAGCACGGAAAGATTCACATGTGCTCTGTGGGTTTGTCTGCACAAATGCAGTTAAGCGATTAAACTTCAAAATAAAATCGAAGCATTTTGAAAAATGCTTCTGATATTATGTGAGGTATTTGTTTGTATTTATTCAAGAGTTCTTCTGTCTTCAGCGGCAAAAAAATACTCACAGAAATCTTTGCACAGTGTTAAAATATCTTAAAACATTATATGTATGCATAAAAAGAGATGGGTGACGTGCTTTTTCATGTATGTAGACAATCTGATATTAACTGTGTGTTGCATTATGGGTATTTCCCACATTTTTGCTGCTTTTGAATATCTTGCTGCTGGGGATACCTGCAAGTAAATTTACTTTGGAACATAAATGTGTTGTTGCTTTTAGACTTAATGAGGACCAAATGGCATTTACTTATGTACCCCACGCCTTGAAAATCAGATATATATGTTTGGACTTGCCTGCCTCTTGTGGATTAAGGAGTTTATATTTTTGCTATTGAATAAACACACTGTAAGCCTACATTCTCCTTGCATTGCTCCATGTGGAACCTATTAAGATGCTAAAAATCATTTTTAATGATTTGCTACTTTAATGTTGATTTTAGAGTAAATGCGGTACACAGGATTAAAAACAAGAGAGCAAAGAATACGTTACTGCAGGCCAGACAGAGGGAACACAGAGACGTGGGAGCAGGCAGGCACAGAACAGAAACCTAACAAATGGCAAACCTTAACAAAAGACATAATCAGAATAAACAAGAACATAGAATATTAGGAAAAACAAAACAGTGAGTCGTCAGACTCAGGACCATGACACATGCAGTACTATGAGGTGTTTAGGATAAGATGAGGTCTGATTATTTAAGACCTTGTATGTGAGAAGATTTACCATTAAAGTCACAGAAGAAAAGCAACTATGCAAGAAATACGCTCGATCTTTCTAGTCCATGGGTGTCAAACTTAAGGGCCTAAATTCAGGAAAAAATGAATGTGTAATTAAATGTTATCATATTGTTAGAAAAGTGAATTTCCATCTTAAGTGGTCTGGCCCACTTTAGATCAAGTGCACTGTATGTGTTGTCCTATGATGTAGGATGAATTTGACTCCCTCTTATAGTCCCTGTCAGAACTCTCGTAACAAAACGTGTTTCAGTGAGTGAGATTTTTCTTAAAAGAGTAAACAGGACTTGTGCCTAAATTTAAAAAATAACAACAAAACAAACTGTTGAAGCTTTTGCCAAAAGGCTGATTTAAAAAAAATCGTTTAGTAATAACAGTGAAGTTAATGGCTGTAAAACCGAAACAACACTAAAACGCTTTGTAGAGCTGCCATGAGTCGGGGGGTCAAATAGTTCACATGTATTTAAAAGACTTTTCCACTTCTTCCACTGACTCGTGCTTTTTCCACATATTCTGTCTCTGTTGGAATTGCTTTAGAAGCACAAGTCGAACCTCGTAACTCCGGCGCGTCGCTGCGGACGCTTGATGGAAAGCTGCTCCCCTCACCTGCTGTGCTGCGACCCCTGCGCCTCCTGCCGCTGTCGACTCTTCAACACCATCTGTCACTGCTGGAGGATGAACCCCCTCTGCTTAAAGAGGACCTAGATGCAGCACGCACATGCATGCACATGCACGCAAACACATCACAACGCCTGAACATATATTGTGGTTGACAAAAGAGCACGGAAAGATTCACATGTGCTCTGTGGGTTTGTCTGCACAAATGCAGTTAAGCGATTAAACTTCAAAATAAAATCGAAGCATTTTGAAAAATGCTTCTGATATTATGTGAGGCATTTGTTTGTATTTGTTTGTATTTATTCAAGAGTTCTTCTGTCTTCAGCGGCAAAAAGTATGAAAAAAAATACTCACAGAAATCTTTGCACAGTGTTAAAATATCTTAAAACATTATATGTATGCATAAAAAGAGATGGGTGACGTGCTTTTTCATGTATGTAAACAATCTGATATTAACTGTGTGTTGCATTATGGGTATTTCCCACATTTTTGCTGCTTTTGAATATCCTGCTGCTGGGGATACCTGCAAGTAAATTTACTTTGGAACATAAATGTGTTGTTGCTTTTAGACTTAATGAGGACCAAATGGCATTTACTTATGTACCCCACGCCTTGAAAATCAGATATATATGTTTGGACTTGCCTGCCTCTTGTGGATTAAGGAGTTTATATTTTTGCTATTGAATAAACACACTGTAAGCCTACATTCTCCTTGCATTGCTCCATGTGGAACCTATTAAGATGCTAAAAAACATTTTTAATGATTTGCTACTTTAATGTTGATTTTAGAGTAAATGCGGTACACAGGATTAAAAACAAGAGAGTAAAGAATACGTTACTGCAGGCCGACCTGTCTCTCGTAGTTAAACAGTGACTTAACCAGCATTTTGAGGTTTTCCAGGACAATTATGTGAATAGCAGAAAGATAATAAATATTAGACCTTCTTTTGGAGGCTCAGCTCAGTATCCCGAGGAGATGCACAGAGACTTCTGTGTAAATTCCAAAGGAAAGTGGTTATAAATCCTATCCAGGAAATGTGTGGTCCACATAATATATTATCTTGTCTGGGACACTGTCTGCTTCTGCTTTGAAAAATGGCAAATGGGCAAACTGAACGCCATTTGTCAGTAGTAGTTATGTTATGAATGATTATCCCTTTCATGGAGATCCTTATATGTCCATTATGTCCATGAGCATGAAGGAGTTTAAGACAGGAAAGAGCCAGTGTTACAGAAAAAGGCCTTACAGTTAGCCCTAACCCTAACAACAGAAGACAGAAGAAGATCTTTTATAGCTCCAAAAGTTCCCACATAGCAAGCAGGTCTGGCCCGGATCCAGTATCAAGCCGGCACTGCTGGCTGACTTCTGGCATGATAAATGGCAAAATGGTAAATGACCTGTATTTGTATAGCGCTTTATTTAGTCCCTAAGGATCCCAAAGCGCTTTACACTACATTCAGTCATTCACCCATTCACACACACATTCACACACTGGATGACATACAAATAAGACGTATGTCATCCAGATATGGGCCAGGCCTGGCACAGATGCCACTGTTTATGTGATGGCACGCCGTATCTGGCTCGATTGTGGTTTGGTTTATGTGGCCCAGGCTCATAGAAAACAGGTCTGGCCGGGATCCGGCATCAAGCTGGCACTTCTGACTGACTGGTGTCATGGCAGAGTGTATGTCAACCAGATGTGGGCCAGGTCTGGCAATGATGGCAGTATTTATGTTCCTATTTTCCTATTTTAGTTAGAAGGCCAAATGCCATGTTGCAATACTATACTGCTATGGTAGCCAACGTTTCAAATGCAGGTTTGACAGGTTTGCGAGTGTTCACTTTATCCAAAACCTAGTGAGGGTTTACTCACCTTTACCAGTGGGTGGCTGTAGCTCAGGAGGTAGAGCAGGTCACCTACTAATCAGCAGGTTAGTGGTTTGATCCCTGGCTTCTCCAGTCTGCGTGTCAAGAGTGTGAATGTAGTTAGGAAACACTCAGTTTAGAGAAAGTGGGTGAATGTGGCATGTTGTATAGAAACTTGAGTAATCCGGGAGAGCAGAAAAGCATAATATCAGAATCAGTCCATTCACTGACTTAACAGAATTACGTCATGTTACTTTTGCACTAGTATTTTCTGGCACATGTTAATATTACCTGGCTTGATTAAGGTACACATTAGGCTGACATCTTGGGCCAGAACTGAAACTGTTCTGGGCCACCAGTGTGTCTGCAACTGGCCTTGTGCTGGCCCATGTGTGGGTCACCTCTGGCAAACCAGATCTGGGCCACCAAAGAGCCGTCATTCTTTGCGGTATGTGGGCCATGTGTAAGCACTCTGTGTGGGCCAGATCTGGGCCATACCAATTTTGCTATGTGGGCTTCTGGTGAAAAGAAAATTCCAGGTTTTTATTACAAACTGAGATAGACATGGTCAAAAGGATCTGCTGAGTTTTAAACTGAGTATCAGGATGGGAAAGAAACATAATTTAAGATGTGGCAAGGTTGCTGGTGCCAGACAGGCAGGTCTGAGTATTTCAGAAACTATTTCAGAAACTATTTCAGAAACGATCTACTGAGATTATTCTGTATAACCATCTCTAGTTTACATAGAAGAAAAAGGATTAAGGAAGGTTAAAAAAGATTAAAGAAGAAATGGTCAGACGAGAAAAACGGGACTTCTCTGAGTTGACAGGAAGGCAAAAGCAATAAGCTTCGTTGAATCAATGTATGCAAAAGAGCGTCTTCTACAGCAGCAGAAGACCACATCAGGAGAAATACTTAGCCTGATGAATCTCGATTTTCTGCTGCAACATTCAGATAGCAGAGTCAGAATCTGGCATAAACAACATGAAAGGACAGCTCCACCCTCTCTTGAATCAGTTGTTCAGGCTGCTAGTGGTGGAGGATATATTGTTGATGCATGTTGAATCCGTGATCATCGCTTACACCCATCTTCTGATGATGGCTTCCAATAATATAACGCACCATCTCACAAAGCTGAGATCATCTCAAACTGACAATGGGCTCATTCACTAATAAGTGTTTACACATAAAATCACTGTTAGAGTCATGAAATGTGCACAAAGGTCAATTCTGTTGGATATGTTAGTGAATGAAACACATTTAAAATCCACAGGCTCATGCTCACTGCCTGCCGTCTGCATAATATCTGCATGCTACACACCAACATTTCTCTGTGTGTAAAAAGCAGTGAGTTTTTACAGCTTACAGAAGCCAAAGATTTCAGGAAATCCTGTTTGAGCTCTTTAAAACATTTTTATATGATTTCAATCACGTTACATTTGCTGCCATCAGCAAAAATGATCTATGAAAACAATGCAGATGTCATCACTAGTAGTCATTAGTCTAGTGTGTATTTTGAACTATTTAGAACAGAAGAGCAGTGAAGCGGACTTTTTAATCCGTGCTTGTTTAGCTTTTTGTTTTGTTTTTTACTTTTTTCACCCGTGCTGTGTGAACAGAGCAAAACAAACAAACAAAAGAAAAACATCAGGGTCTTTATTTCATTTCATTTTTGAAATTCCTGCTACACAGTGGTTCAAACAGAGTGGGTGAATACACACGAGTCAGAATGAATGTGCTAAAAGCAGGAGCTGAGACAGCAAACACTTTTAGGCCATGGAATTTCTTGCTGTCAAAGAGGAAGGAAAAATAACAGCATGAACGTTAGTCAGAGAGGGAATTATGCAGAAGCTGATATATATAAAGAAAAGCTAAAATCACGCTGTGACTGCGGCAGTTCTACTCAATAACTCATTTGGCATTATGGCAACATGCGAGGAGCTCAGCTTTAACGTGGATCACGGCTACCTGGAGGGTTTGGTTCGAGGAATGAAAGCTGGGATTCTGTGTCAGACTGATTATCATAATCTGGCCCAGTGTGACACACTAGAGGGTAAGCCTTTTGTATCACCCATGTAATGTGTCATAATATGCAAATGTGCAATACCTGCAGTCTAAAAAATATTATGCACATGTGAGGGGGTGTTGGAAGCAATCTATCTATCTATCTATCTATCTATCTATCTATCTATCTATCTATCTATCTATCTATCTATCTATCTATCTATCTATCTGTGATCAGTACCTTGTTTAACCTTTTCCTGCCTCTTTGGAAATGGCAAACTAACAAGCAGTGGAGTATAAAACATTTGATTTGCCATGTCCTCTGCTCAGATATGAAGCTACACCTTCAGAGCACAGACTACGGTAAACTGCTGTCCTTGTCTGAGGGCGATTTGACTGTGTCGCTGCTGGACAGCAAGCTGAGGGAGAATCTGGTGACTGAATTCAGCTGCCTGCGCTCTAATGCCCTGCCACCCCTGTCTACCTTCCTTGACTATATAAGGTGCGCCTAGTCACTGCATGTGCTTTATTTATAGCTTGTGTCACAGGATAAGCAGACGCACTTGAACAGCATCCTGCAGGTTGGCTGCTGCTGAGATTTTCAGCTAAAGAGGACAGTGTTTACGCAGACAGTGGAGACCTTGTGGCAAACGTGGCGAGGTCATCTTTATGTGATGAAAACCTTCCTTCTGCAACACTCTTTGTGGTTTATAAAAATGGGATGAGCAGGAAACATTTTACAGGGTAAAAGGGATATTCAATTCATGTGGTCTCTGTGTTGCCATAGTTACAGCTACATGATCGACAATGTGGTGATGCTGATCACGGGGGCCCTGAAGAACAAAGATGTGTCAGAGCTGCTCCCACGGTGTCACCCACTGGGAGCGTTTGACCAAATGGCAGCCGTGGGTATTGCCCGCACTCCAGCTGAACTGTACTCAGCCATCCTGGTGGACACACCACTAGGTAATCTCTGTTTTTTGTTTTTTAAAATTTCTAATGGCGGCAAAGATGTATATTATTAATATTTAATTATCTTTTAGCTCTAATACACTTGTGAAAGACCATCATTGACTTAAATATCAATGAGTCACTAAAAACACTTTAGTTTAAACACTTTGCACTGATGCATGCAAAAAGAAAACAGGTCCTGCTCACTCATCCTGCTTCATTAACCACAGCTTACTGGAAGTGGTTTGCACACACAAGCTATTAATTTAGTCATTAGAGCATTATGAACCTTTCTGAGTACAGATACAATATTAAATGCCTCACATGACCTCATCAGACTGGATCTTTTTATCAGTTTATTACAGTGATATAACGTTTATTTCTAATGCATAGCATTATGTGGAGCTCTGTCAACACTGAAATGTGTTATATTGTTATTACTCAAAGTATTAAAGTGCTATTCCAAAAACCAAATAACACCAAAAGGAAACAATAATGTTGTTATATTAGTTGTAGTAGAAGTATTAGGAGTAGTGGTGGGAGTGACAGTAGTTTCATATAATCTTAATGCAACAAAAGCAGTGATGAATATGTGTTTTGGATTCAACTTGTTCAGGCTGTGCCCACTTCATAGTTCGATGACTCCCCAAATTAGAATTGGTTTTAACTTTTTTGTGTCCTTTTAGAGGTTCTCAAAGTGAGAAATCAAGATTTTTACTTATAAAAATGTAAAACTAAAAAGTCATTTCTTTCTTTAGGTGTTTTAGAAAATACAACTGTGGCATCTTTTTGGTAAATTTTTGTAGCCTAACGTTTTAGGTGTCAAATGTCAAAGCCAGATTAGCACTAGTCATTAAAAGGCAATGCACGTTTCTGTTTTCTTTTATTTTTTCCTCCTTGGCTGTTAAATCCTCCTAATGTGTTCATAATACCTTCCAAGCAAGTTTGTGGACTGTTAGTTAGCAACAAGCCTAATAAGCTACTTCTTCTTATTTTAGACTTCTCTGGCTCTCTGTTCCCTCAGCACAGCTAAAAATTAGTCAGTGCTAAAAATTTCAGAGTCATAGTTTACCAAAGCTAAGCATGAAGTAATGGGTGTGAGCAGGGATATAGTAAACACAGTTGTGACCATATGTTATTATTCTTCATGTCAGGAGTGGGCTTCCATTTTTAAGGTCTACTTTATAAAAATATTTACAACATACTGAGGGTTACTGTGTTGTTTTATTCTCACCACAGGTCAGTTTTTCCAGGATGCCGTATCTGAGTGCAGCCTGGATGAGATGGAGGCTGAGATCCTGAGAAACAAACTGTATAAGGTGAGCAGAGCATAGCATAATATGGCATGACTAACCTATCTCAGCTTTGACACCTGTGTTATAGTATTTGTGGACATGCTATAAATATGCAATAAATTCTTTACTGTAGTTTATACTACTGTGATAAACATGCTTAACAGCTGCACTTAAGTTTTACTGCCGTGTCTGAACGCGATCTGTTTTTCATGAAATTTGTGCTGATCTCGGTGCCTTTTGTTCTACCGCACAGGCATATTTGCAGTCTTTCCACTCTTTCTGCAAGAGCGTGGGCGGTGCCACAAAGGACGTAATGTGCCCTGTCCTGGAGGTACTCTGGCTTTCTATGATGCATGAGTTTGTTTAACTGAAGTCTTACAAACTACTTGAGATTTGTTTTGCTGTAAATGCCGTGCGCTTTTATGCGTGCTGCAGTTTGAAGCGGACCGGCGGGCCTTCATCATCACCGTGAACTCCTTTGGGACGGATCTCAGCAGTGCAGACAGGAGTGCGCTGTATCCATCCTGTGGCAAACTTTACCCTGGAGGACTGAAACTCCTGGCCCAGGCAGAGGACCATGAGCAGGTCAAGGCTGTGGCTGACTGCTACCCAGTGAGTTTGACCTCATGTCCTTTAAGATGCTGCACGGTTGTTATTGCACATTGAGTCAGACATGTGGTCAGTGTAAACTCAAATTTCCCTGCAGGACTATAAAATGGTTTTTGATGACCCTGAGCCTGGATCAGATTTTAAGACTCTTGAGGACCGATTCTTCGAACAAGAGGTAATAACAGCTTTGTTTTGAACTGTCACGGATTTCTTTCCCACTTTTCAACCTTTTATATAACATTTGAACCAAGCTGACCATTCAGACTTTCAAATATGAAAATCTGACATACAGTCACCAGCCACTTTATTAGGTACACCCCACCTAGTTGGAGCTCCTTTTGTCTTCAGAGCTACTTGAATTTTTAGTAGCACAGATTCAGATTCACAGATGTGCTCTCCTAGAAGATGCTCTTCTGCACACCTTGGTTGTAACTTGGTTATCAGACTGTTGCATTCCTAGTTTAAAGCAGCCTGGCCATTGTCCCATGACTTCTAGCTTCTATGAGAACTGCAGCTCACTGGATATTTTCATGTTTTAGGCCTCTGTAAACCCCAGAGATGACTCTATCATGTTTAAAATCACGTTAATCACCTGCTGAAAGTATATATATTTGTAAGAAAGTACAGGTGATTAATTTAAATTTAGTATTAGTATGTACTTTTCTTGTTAGGCTGCCCTGACTGTAGATTCTTGCAGCTTACACATCTATCATTTTTCCAGGTGAAGCTGAACATACTTTCTTTCCTGCAGCAGTTCCACTTTGGAGTATTTTACTCTTACATCAAACTTAAGGAGCAGGAGAGTCGGAACATTGTGTGGATTGCCGAATGTGTCACACAAAGACAGAAGTCAAAGATACACAACTACATACCCATCTTCCAAAAGACCAGTTAACTAAGAAACAAGGATGTTTTACTACGTTTTAGTACGGATTAGTAAATGTGGTGGACCAAAGTGAGTCTTCAGCATCTTCACTGTTTGCACTACAAACCTCAGCCTTGGTGTTACACTGTTATAGCACATCTGTTCCTCATGTGTATTGAGTTTCAAGACCTGATCGCTTACGCCTCAAATTGTTTGAAAGAAATTACTCTTTTTAATTCCAGACTTTGTGTTAATAATTGTCCTGGTCACAAAACAAAGTCTGAAAGGAATGATATTCAATAAAAAGCTGGTTTCAGCCGCTCCCTCCTCACAATGCACTGACACAAATCTTTAAAAAAAATGTTTTTATTACTTGCTACAGTGAATGTGTTTACATTCACATTAATGGGATAATCAACGCACGTCTAAACAGGACAAAAGCGTCACAGGAGGTACAAGAATGTGTGACTACACAGTGGAGTACAACATAAAAGTACGAAGGCAATATGGCACAAACAGTGGTATAAAGAGTAAAGCTGTCCGTTATAGCAGCTCACAGAGGTCAGAAACTGGCCATTTTTGCTCTTCATTAGCTTGTCCTTCCTTTACACTTTCACTAAAACAGAAACAAACACACACACACACACACACACACACACACACACACACACACACACACACACACACACACACACACACACACACACAAAACAAGTTAAAACTACATGCAAAATATACATTTTGCATGTCTGAATTAAAAAAACTTGCCACAAATACACATTAATACAAGAATAATCATGCATGTCTTATTCAGTGGCCTAACTCACTGCAGTGAACGGGGACCTCCATGGGTATGTAGTTCTGCTGGCAGAGGTGAGCGAAAGCAAATGCTAATCTGCAGGGTGCTCTCGATGAGCTGAGTTTACACACAGACATGAACTGACTGGGATCCACCTGACAACACAAACGCAGGTTTGTGAAAAAATCACATGTGATCAACCAAAAAGAGAAAAAAAAGGAAAAAAGATGGAGATGGGGAAAACAGAAAGGTTTTCATATTTATCTGTTTAAACTTCCCTCCACGACGAGCTTTCCAAACATAAATGGGATATTAATAAAAAATGTTCTGGTGAAGAAACCACCAGGACATGCCTGCTGTGTGGGTTTTTTTGTTACTCACCACCCTGAAACAAGAGCTGAGGGGAGAATCGGGAGAAGAGAACAAAGCGTCACAGCTCGCTGGACTGACGGCTGCTGTCGCAGAAGGTTTGATGCATGTAGGTTTCATCTAAAGTCACAAACAAGCGGGCAAAGCTAAGGAGAACCTCGAGGCTGACAAAAACTCTGCAAACATTTGTAGACACAAGATTTCACAATTTCATTGAAACTCGATTTCAGGAAATATTGGGATGTTGTCTGAAATACAAATTAAAGCAGAACGCAGTGATTTGAAAATGATTTAACCACCGAGAACCAAAACCACAAATCAAATGTTGATGCTGTTCATTCTGTATTTGATCCCAGCAAAATGTTCCCCCCAAAATATTTATGCGGGAGTATGTTTCCCATTATCGTGTATCATTTTTAATACTTTCCAAATGTTTGGTAGATGAAATTAATGGCTCTCGCTTGGAACGCAAACTGTTTTCATAATTCCTGTTTGCATACAAAAGTTCAAAGTAAACTTGATTGTCATCTCTGCTATATACAGTTCAGTATATAGAGACAGGAGACGACGAGGCTCGAGTTCCATACAGTGCAAAAGAACAACAATAAATCCGGGACCGTGTCATGTGAATGACAATAAAGCTCCTTGAATCCTTGAAATATAGGAAGAGTAAGAATAAGAAGAATAAATATATATACACTTTGAGACTGAGGTAAGGGAGTAAATATACACTTTGAGGTAAAACTTACAATTGATATTTAAAGTGACTTTGAAGTCATTGTAAGACGTAAACCCTCTTTCAGTTCTGAAGGTTCGATTCCAAGCAGGTCCTACAATACAATCAGGTGAATACAACCTCAAATGAGCAACAATAAATGACTTATTACTAGGGCTGGACCATATGATACCGTTCACGTAATACCGGTATAATGTTGGGCAGCAAAATTAAATATCGCGATAGAATACGGGTAAAACGCGCATGCGCAGTGCCTTTGTTTTCATAGACACATGGCGGAAAAAGCGTGGCGGCGACGGAGAATGAGAAAGGCGAAAGCGGATCGTTGAATGAAACGGATGAACCAGAACTGGTTTGTATAAATGCTGCAACTTCAGTGGTGTGGAACTGGTTTAGCTTTCGTCCGTCAGATACACAACAAAGCACTATTTTTGGTAGAGCATGCTAGCAGGCCGTCGTTATTACCGTGTTTTTTGGAAATACTGCACACTTAAAATCAATCCTTTGATTTTTCTGAAAATCGACAGTGCCCCTTATAATCCTGTGTGCCTTATGTTTGAATTCTGGTTGTGTTTACTGAGCTCGAAACGATGTTATGTGGTACACGGCGCTCAAAAAATCTGTCAAATGTTTTAGTACGACTTTGCTAAGCTACGAAGCCGCACCGCTTGATGGATTGTCGGAGCATTACGGCTATCGTAGGCAGGAGCCTCGCGGAGTGATACGTACTGTGCTTCAACATAATATTACCGTGTTGTGTGTGTATAACCTCTTTTTAAGTTTTGTGGATATTATACATGGTTATGCTGAGGACATGTCGGACAATTTCCACTGGAAACGCCTTTTGGTTAAACTGTCAGCAAGGAATTTGCATTTACACTGTTAAATTTTTATATAACTTTAATGCAGATAAAAAACAGCTGCTTGTTTAAGTGAAAATACATTGATGTTTTTTTTGCACTAATAAAGTTGTGGAGTCGTAAAGTATTTTGTCTAGTGTCAATTATATCGTCAGAAGGACTGCCAGGAGAAAGCCTCTTCCCTCAAAAAACTGTCACGATCTGTGGGAGGCAGGTCACGTTTTCTAGACGATCCAAATGCAGACGCTTGGACTAATCCTAACAAAAGCGAGCCGTTTATTAAGGCTGATCAAAACTTTGCAAAAATACAAAATAAAAGGGAAAAAGTGGACAAAGACTTTCACTAACAGAAAACTAAATGGGGAAAAACTGGTAACAAGGAACATGAGCAAGACACATGGAAGAAGAACGGGCGTTCCGGCACAGGACAGCGGGACAATATGTACACAAGAGGGTGGTGAGAGGAAGTGAAGGCACGGGAAAGGCAGCAGAAACAAATTAGACAAAAAAATCGGAATTGAGCATTAAGACCTGCAGTGTGAACGTAGCCTAAGTCACTGAGTCGACCATGAACTCCTCCGTATACCAAAGTTTTCTACTCAAATATGAGATCATCGGTCTGACAGCTAAAGTCTGGCATCAACTGGGTCATGGAACAGCTGATGGAACGACTGAAAAACACATCATTTGACGTGTTGCCATGGCGCACTCAAAGTCCAGATCTCAATCTGACAGAAATGATGTGGCGGGCCCTTCAGAGAGCCGTGCATAAGCAAACGCCCAATGAGCTGACGCAATGTTGTAAAGACAACAGGGCCAAAATTCCTCCGCAGTGAAGTGAGAGTTGTTGTTCATCTGAAGTCACATTTAATAATTTTAAGACTTGCTGAGGACCAAATCATTTTTATGTAAAACCTTAGAGCTGAAAGAGGATTTTATTTATTTATTTTTATATCTTTCATCACTAACAGGGTGATGACATCAACAGATGACCGAGGAACACATTCCACTTCATGCAATTCCAAACTTATGCTATAATGGATGCTGGAGTTGAAGTGTGTACCACTAACAAGCCTTTCTTTGTCCCTTTCTATTTGCCCCCTGCCAAAAAATTGATTTTTATCAGTCATACAAGCAAACAGCTTTCCACTGATCTTAGTACATAAATTGACCCAAGCCCAGAATATTGCTATGCCCAGTGAAGTTTCTGCATCTTGTTTCTGTCTGCTTTTTCTTTCAATGTCAGAGCTTTAACATGTGCTACGGAGTGGTTTATATTTTTTAATGAATTCACTTGAGGGCCTGAAGACCATAACCGTTCATGATTATTTTAATCCTGAGAACATTCCTCGATTACTCAGTCTTTACCCAGTCCTTTTTCATTTTAAAACCTTTTTGTTGTATTTTCGATCAAATGTAGAGTTTAAGTAGAGTTTAAATGATTTACAAATCCTTGAAATCTAGGCTTTATTTCATATTGCACATCTTTTTGAGAACTGGACCATGTGTTGATTAATCTCACTGATCCTACCTGCCAGGTGTAGAGAAAATCCTCCAAGTTTTTAGCCTGAGATCCGTCAAACATAGGAAAATCATTTCCTGCGTCGTTATCGTTGGTCCCAAACAGACCGGTGGAGACACCTGTGCAGGCGAGAACGGTGTATATGTGTGAGAATATGAAGACAGATATTTATAACGGGCCATGCTGAATCTTTCCCACCATGTAACCATCCATCCAGAGTGAAGCTGCACAATTCAAGCGACAGGTCACATGACACAAACATCCCACGCTGACTGGACACCTGCACCACGTTTGATGCTTTCCTGACTGTCACTCCATCATCAGTGAGAAACGTGTGACTGACGGCGCCGCTGCAGTCGGTCCTCACCTGTGACACAAGCATTTACTCGTCTTATTCCTCATGGCCTGAACGCTCTTTATTCGTCGAGAGTAACACATACCTGCCCGTTGCGCTGAACGCTGATGGTGTGGTTATTCATTTGTATCAGGAGGAGGTTCTGCGTGTCTGTGCCGAGCAGCAGCGTGAACGACGGATCGCGGCCGACGTCTCGGGCCAGGAGCAGTGGACACGAACCTGGCAGCTCATACAAGTGACCGTCAAACGTCACTACGAACTGATCTGCCACCAACAGAGCTTGGTCTTTGGCGAGATAAGAAGGGAAAAACGAAGAATTCATTGAACCCTCATGTGGTGTTACTTTTTTATTGAAAAGGTTGTCACCATCAGGGCTCTTATCACAGCTCCTGACTCTGACCCCTCTGTCTCTGTCCCTTGCGCTGCTGTTTTCACTCAGTTTGAGCTTGTGACGCTCTCCTCTTTAGAGGATGTGGTTCGCCATATTAAGCCCACAGGTTCCCCACGGGATCCTGTCCCTCCACAATTCTTTAAAGAAATTTTTCCTAGTATACAACAGTATGTCCTTGACATTATTAACAGCAGTCTGTCTTCTGGTGTGGTTCCTGCAAATTTCAAACATGCAGTAGTACAGCCACTGCTTAAGAAACCTGGCCTTGATCACACAGTTTTAGCGAACTATAGGCCTATTTCCAAGCTGCCTTTAGTCTCCAAGGTTTTAGAGAAAATTGTTTTTAGTCAACTGAAAGATTTTCTAGATGAAAATGGAATCTTTGAGGTTTTTCAGTCAGGTTTTAAAACCCTTCACAGCACAGAATCTGCATTACTAAGGGTTTTTAATGACATCCTTCTGGCATGTGATTCTGGTAACCATGTTGTTCTTGTCTTGCTTGACCTAACTGCTGCCTTTGACACAGTAGACCACAATATTTTAATTTCTCGATTACATGATGTAGTGGGTGTTGGTGGCACTGCACTCAATTGGTTTAGGTCTTATTTGTCAGATAGAACTTTCTCTGTCAGCCTTCTCGGTTACGAATCGTCTTCTGCTCCTCTGTCATGTGGTGTCCCACAGGGCTCAATTTTAGGGCCACTGCTCTTTTCTCTGTATCTACTGCCTCTGGGTTCTATCCTTAGAAGGCATGGGATCTCATTTCACTGTTATGCCGATGACTGCCAAATTTATTTGACACTAAAACGCAAGGATGCCATCTCCATAAAACCTCTCTTGACATGTCTAGTTGACATTAAAGCTTGGTTGGCTCGAAACTTTTTAAATTTTAATAAAAAGAAAACAGAAGTGTTGGTGTTTGGACCCAGTGGTCCCTGTGAGTCCTCCTCTGTTGTTTTAGGATCCCTGGAAGTCTATTTTAAATCTGTTGTTACTGACCTTGGTTTTAAGTTGGACAGTGATTTTAAATTGGACAACCAAATCAGAGCAGTGGTGAAGTCCAGTTTTTATCATTTAAGGCGACTGGCAAGACTAAAATCTTTTCTTTCGAGGCAGCACCTTGAAACAGTGATCCATGCTTTTATTTCTTCCCGCCTGGACTACTGTAACTCACTTTATGTGGGGGTCAGTCAGTCATTGCTCTCACGTCTGCAGCTGGTTCAAAATGCGGCTGCACGACTCCTAACAGGAACTCGAAAAAGAGAGCATATAACCCCTGTGCTGGCCTCTCTGCACTGGCTGCCTGTGTCTTTTAGAGTTAATTTTAAAATTCTTATGTTTGTTTTTAAATGCCTACACAGTCTTGCCCCGCCTTACCTCTCTGAGCTTCTTCATCCCCACATACCCTGTCGGTCTCTCAGGTCAGCTGACCAGCTGCTCCTGGAGGTACCGAGATCCAGGAGGAAGCTCAGAGGGGACAGGGCCTTCTCTATTGTGGCTCCAAAATTATGGAATAATTTGCCCATGCATGTTAGAGAGGCCCCTTCACTGTCCACTTTTAAATCACGTCTTAAAACCCATCATTGCGCCTGGATGTTTGTAATGCTTAAAAAAATCTCTGTCCCACATTCACCCTCAGTCTTATGGGAGCCACATCTTCTCAAATATTCCTCATCTCATTCTACATCCAGTAGCGAGCCGCGTTGCCACGTAAAAGTTCAACGTGCTGTTAACAACACTTAAATCACGATTAATGTAAAAAGAAAATCATATTAAAACAATAAACATAAATAAAGACATGAATAAGAAAAGGATGTCAGCAGAAGGCCTGATTAAAAGAAATGTTTTGAACTGTTAATCAGTTAAACTGAGCTGGAGTGTTAAACTGTTCCAGAGCCTCGGTGCCGCAGGACGAAAGGCCCTGACCCCCCGTCGTCTTCAGTCTTGTATGAGCCAACTAGCATATTAGTGAAAACAGCGAGCAGCACTGTGTTTAACACGAAGTAATCTGGAGTGTGTCCGTTTAGCTTCCTACACGACTGTGAGAATTTTAAAAGAAATTCTAAACTCCACTGGCAGCCAATAAAAACAGAGTAAAGTAGGGGTGATGTGAGCTCGCTCGCTAGAGTGCGTTAGGAGTCTGGCTGCAGCATTGAGCGACACACAAAGTCCTGACAATGCAAAACATAAGCTCAAAAAGACAAAACACACCCGAAGGCACACGTGTACACGCTAACAGTCGCGTGAAGTCATCAGAAATATGTTATTTGTTCCATTCATCATGGAAACTAAAGGGAAGGAATGTGAAGCTGAAATAATAATAATAAATACTTCATGTTGACATGCAGTGCCCTTTTTACCTACGCCTCCACTCATAGCTGGTCTAACTCCATATTTACTTACTCCATGCTCATTACTACATGTTTACAACGTACAAGTCATTATTTGTTTTTAGACAAGTGCCTCCAGTACTGATTTACTTAGAAGTGTTATGTTGGTTAGATCAGCTATCTTGTGTTATTTGTTGCAGATGTGTTCCAGCCATGACCTAAAGTGTTTTGAATGATGTATTAAATATGAACAAAACAAAACAAAAACCCCTTTATGATGTTTAATCTAATAATCTAAGATAATACAAAACAAAGCTAACAGTTATGGTCCTGCGTGCTGATACAGAGGTTTTAGTTCTTTGATCTTTAGATTTTTGTTGATTATTCAGTTTTCTTTGTTTTTTTATTGTTTACAATTCGATTCCCTCTTTATTAGTTTATCCTGGTCTTTCACTGTGTGTAAAGCTGCTGCATGTATCCATGGTCTAACCTCTGCACTTGTTAGTTACTTCCTGTTTTATTTTGTTAGTCATTTGTGTCCTTATTGGTTTCATCTGTATCTCGTTACCCTCGTCTGTCCACCCCCCCCTTGTTTACCTCATGTATGAGTACTCCAGCTCTGCCTTTCTCTGCAGTTTTTGAGCATCTGTTTAGTCTCCCAGTGCGTTCTCTGACAGCTCTGGATTGTGCTTCCCTTTTGCCTCTGGATTTCTGTGTCCTTTAGACTTCATCAATCAAAATAAATTCTCACTTTTCCCCATTCAGTCTGTCCTGGGTATTGTTTCTCACCCTACAGCACATAACACTTTACTGACTTTTAAATAATATTTATATGGACTGAAGTGAAGAGGTTATCGAATACCAACTGAGCGTGCCTAAAAAGCACCTCCTGAGGTCCTATTTGCAACAATTACCAGGCTGGTATTGCTACAGCTGGTTTCCATGCAGATACTGAGGCTCGCTCTGCCAGACCTGTCAGTTAAATCCTCACATAAAACATTTCAAACGAGATCTGAGAAAAGACAGAAGAAGAGTACAGTTGAAATACACCAGCCTGGGAACAGTGACAAGTTCTTTTTGAGATTCTGGGACTCATGAAGTACAAATGGAGAAGGTTAAAAACTGAGTGAACTTTTCCAGAAGTAGTGTGCCTTCCAAAAGTCATCTAAGCAAAGAAAAATATCCAGGAAATCACAAAAGATCCAAGAAAAAAAAGGAAAAAAAGAGAACAGCACGACTTGTACACCCGTAATAAACATCAGCGTTTATGACACCTCGACACTTTGTGTCAATGCAGTCTCAGTAAAATTGATCAACAGCACTGTCATAAACGTGTAAAACGGAGTAATTAAAACGGTGCCTTACGTGTGAAGGGGCTGTCCATGATCTTCCTTTTGAGGCGGTAGAGTTCGGCAGTGGGTCTGACAGCGGCGAGGGTCAGCAGAGGTCTCAGGATCCACTCCTCCAGGAGGATCTCCATCAGCCCAGCGTTGGCCGTCCTTGACTGGGGCAGCTGTGGCAGCGGCACCGACACAATCACTGAACATTCACTGAAAGGAAAAACAAAGGGAAAAAAATCCAACTGGAATCATTTTTATCCATCAGTTGTACTCTGGATCAAAACTTGATCTTTAAACTTCTTGATCGAGTTATTGTTTAAGTTTAAACAGGTCCAGCTTTAGCTACGAACATCTAGGTGCACATAGCGTCGAGAGCATTTCGGTGACTATAATTCAACGTGTAGTTTGTACCTGCAGTGAACCCAAATAAACTGACCATTTTCAAAAACAAAACCCCCCAAAACAAAACAGTGATATAGCTGTCTTAACTCTGATATGTGTAGTACCTGGGGAAGAATTTGTAGACTGATGCAAGCCGTTTTCTGACTCCAGACAGAGCCATCGCCAGCCTGGTCTCAATCCAGTGGTAGGCATGCTGGCCTGCCTGATTGACACATTAACACATTCATCAGGTTCAAATAGGTCTTTTAGCAAAGGCTGAAACAATGGATGGGAACAATGTGAAAAGCACAGGAGGAAGAGTGGGTGTAAGAGATCGTGACACTTGAGCAACTGTTGTACATCAAAACAATCTATCCCTCTCTATGTTTTACATATACAGCTGCTATGTTTCATACTAATAATGTATGTATGATATTATGCCCTTTCTCTTTTATTATGATGTGAAAACATTCTAAGAAATAAGTATGAATCAAATAAACATTATGTAGTAGGATAAAAATGTGATATGGGCCAGCCTAAAGCATAAACAACTCATCACTACAAGCTGTCTTTTTCCACACGGGAGCGAGGGAAGAAGAATCCCAGCAGACTGGACACTACGCAGATGTTTTCCGTATCTCACTTTGCCAATATAAATGACTTTGCTGTTTTATAACATATTATCTATCTATCTATCTATCTATCTATCTATCTATCTATCTATCTATCTATCTATCTATCTATCTATCTATCTATCTATCTATCTATCTATCTATCTATCTATCTATCTATCTATCTATCTCTCTCTCTCTCTCTCTCTCTATATATATATATATATATCTATATATATATATATGTATATGTACATATATATGTATATGTACATATATATGTACATATACATATATATGTACATATATATGTATATGTACATATATATGTATATGTATATATATCTATATATCTATATATATATATATATATATATATATATATATATATATATATCTATATATATATATATATATATATATATATATATATATGTATATGTACATATATATATGTATATGTACATATATATGTACATATATGTGTATATGCATTTAACAAATGCATGTACATATACATATACATATATATACATATATATGTATATGTATATGTATATGTACATATATGTGTATATGCATTTAACAAATTTCTCACCATATTTTATTTTGGTGAGAAAGTATTTAGTCAGAGTTTTATGTAAGTGTATTCTAAACCGAACAATCAAGATGTGATTGAAGTGCAAACTTTCACTCAGACATTTAATTCAGGGTGTTTAGCAAAAGTGCTGCATCAAGTGTTTAGGAATTACATCGTGTTTCATACATTATCCCCAATATTTCAAGGCTCAAATCCAATTGGGCATTTGACAGGCAGGCGGTTTCAAGGCCAGGTGAGGCCTGCTCCGTTATGATCCCATGACAAACAAAGACAGGGTATCTGGAGCTGATACCAAGTGAGGGTGGCACAGCGGTGCAGTGGTTAGTACTGGTACCTCAAAGCAAGAGGCTTCTGGGTTCAAATCCTCTGACTGGCTGGGACCTTTTTTTGTAGTTTGTATGATCTCCGTATGCTTGTGTGGTTTTTCTCCAAATATTCCAGCTTCCTCCCACAGTTCACATGCATGCCAGGTTAATCTGTGATTCTAAACTGTCTGTAGGCATAAATGGCTGTCTTTCTCTCTGTACGAGCCCTATAACAGACTTGCAGCCTGTCCAGTATGTACTTCCCATCTCACCCTGTGACAGCTGGGATAGACTCCAGCCCTGCCATGATTCTGAGTTGGATAAGTGGAAGAAGATGGATGGTTGAAGAATCCAAGTGTTGAACTTACATTTGGTATTTTTTTTACTGGAACTCTCAATATTAGGCTCAAAGTGATATAATTCAGGCCATCATTAGACCAAAAACCCAAAATCAACCTGTCAAAGAGAAAAAAAGACTTTGGGAATAGCCAAATATGAAATCTGGTCCATTTTTTAAAAGAAGGAATGCACTGGACACCAAACGGTCTGAGAGACCGCAGACGACAACTAAAGTGGATGATTGCAGAATTCTTTTTTTGGCTCGGGAAAACCATCACAGCAATTCAAGAAAACTCTGGAGGAGGCGGATGTATCATTGTCAAAGCCTTCAAACAAGAGACACCTGACACATGAATCATGCGGTGGGGTTACACTCAACACAAACTCAAGAACGGGAAGGCCAGATCAGACTTTGGGTTTTCAGCCAGAAAATGTCTAAGTGAGCTGACAACTTATGGGAAAAATAAAAGAAAATTGATAGTTGAAACCAAGCTTAATTTGTACCAGAATGATGTGAAGAGAAAAGTCTGGAGAAGGAGAGAAACAGTTAATGATGTGAAGCATATGGATAGAGAAACACCGCCGTAGCCAGTGGATATGGATCGCTGGTGTTTATTGATGATGTGACTGCTGATGGAAGAAACAGGATAAATGAATGATGAATAGTGCAGGGCTACACTCTCTGCTCAGATATTCTTCAGTGGCCAAATCAGGCAACTCACCTCAATGCTTCAATGTTTGCTTTTCAGTTCTTAAATACAAACTGAATGCACAGAGACCAACAAACAAACAGCAACTGCAGTAAAGGCCCGCCAGAGCATTTTGGGAGGAGGAAACACGACATTTGATGATGTCCATGGGTTGTAGACCTCAGGCAGTATGAAGGATGAATATCCAAATATTAAAAACTATCTTTATATTTGAAATCATATTCGTTTTGTCCAATTAATTTGGAACTTCTGAAAATGAAAACCTGTAGTATAAAAATAGCTGTAACTCCTATACAGTGAATGCTTTCGTTAAACCCCTTAAAAACCTAAAATCTGCACTTCAATCGTTTGGTTTAAAATCCACTGTCGTGGTGCACAGAAGCAAAATCTACAATTGCGGACAATTAATTTGTCACTGTCCAAAAACTTATGGAACTAACTGTCTGATCTAATTTGAAGGCAGACACTTATCAACAGCCTTGATAAGGTTTTTAGTTTGTCTAACCCAGTCAAAGACCACATCGAGCACATTTAAAAAGGCACCAGAGTGCAGTTTCTCACCACATCCAGGGCGATGCTGAGCGTGGTGACACCGGCCTCTGACAGCAGTCTGAGCTGAGGGTTCTCCAGCAGAGCAGGATGGACCTCCACCAGCTTGTCATTCCACTGCAGAACAGCCTCCCTCCACATCGCCTCCAGCCTCTGGCCCTTCACATCCTGGTACACACCTGCCAGAGTGGTAAGCGGCCCTGAGGCCGAACGAGGGATGGAGGTACACGTTTTCAGTTTCACATGAGCATACATATTTCAGAACCTCTCACAGGAAACTGTGAGGGACCACAAAAAGAGATGTGAACATCGATGAAGAGAAATTTTCTAAATAATGCCTTGAGAGACAGAAGAGATGCTTTTCATGCTTCCTTCCGGTAAATAAGTTAAGGGAGAGAAGATTAGTTTATGTTTGGAGTTCCTTAAGGAAATTCAATTGGTGACGGCACAGCAATCGCTCAAAAACTAAAGGCCATCTCTTTATGCACCAGAACTAAATTAATCATGAACACACAACTGGAATGCATCCTTCCTGAAGCTCTGGTTAGCTTTCTGTCTTTCCGCACTCACTCCTAAGTTCCTGCTGACCCAGCAGCGAGGCGTACTGCAGCAGATTCAGAAAGCGTGGCAGGCTGTCGGTCAAGAAGTGACGCAGCGGGCTCCTCTGCCACAGAGCCAGCACGCCTTTTTCTTTCTTCCCCAGCAGAGCCTCTGCTTGCTGTGAAACATGGAGAGGCAGAGCGCTCAACTCCTGCAGCAGCTGACTGTCTCTGGACTGGAGTGGTGGGGGATTAACAGAAACAGCACAGCAGTTAAATCCAAGAAAGCTCCTGTTATTACATTAAGAATTCCAGTGTGTGTGTGTGTGTGTGTGTGTGTGTGTGTGTGTGTGTGTGTGTGTGTGTGTGTGTGTGTGTGTGTGTGTGTGTGTGTGTGTGTGTGTGTGTGTGTGTGTGTGTGGTTACCTGTCTTCTAAAGTCTACGAGGAGACGCTGCAAAGCCCTGATTCTCTCCGTAAGTTTAATCTGTATCTGAGAGCTCAAATAGTCCGCCCGTTGCTGTGAACCGAATGAAAACAACCAATTTTTAAAAAGGCCATTCACATGAAAGCAAACACTGGGATGTGTTCATGCCATTAGCGACACCTCTGCTGCAGTCAGACTCTCCAAACAGCCACTTGCTCTCAGCATTAGCGTCTGATTGGCTGTTCCCAGAAACACTCTGCCCAGAGTTTCGGATGTGCCACTGCCGCTTCTTTTCTGCACATCTAGCGTCAAACTGTGGTTTACACCCACACATACCGCTACAGTGAGATCCTCACTGAGGCCTAGACCTGCACAGCCAGAGACAATTTCATTTTATTTGATTTCATTTTGATATATTTTGGCATTAATGCATGGCTAAGGTTCTTCTGCATTTACCATTCATATGACCGGCTGTAGTCTGCAGGCATCGTCCCTCGACTGTACCGTTCAGCCAGATCTTCTCTCTGCCGTCCAGTCTGGCCTGTACCTGGAGACCTGACCCCTTGATTTGAGACAGGGCACTTCCCCTCACTTCCACACTACAATTACCCATCCTAGACTGTAAAGCGTGAAACAAATGTAGGCATGTTTAGAATTAGTAGGACCCCGACTTACAAAAAGAAGGCTAGTCGAATATCTCACTATGTTTCGATCATTTCCTGGAATCCCTGTTAGGAACCAGCAGTGACTGCAGGAAGTGATTCCAAACTCCACAGAAGAAACACGTTTCTTTTTTTGTACAAATTTAGCAGTCGTAATACAAAATTTTGCTTAGTGAAATCGGTATGCGTGTGTGTAGCAACTTGCCCTTTCTTGCCTTCTCAAAGAAATATGCACAAAAGCCCATTTCTCACAATATTAAATATCAAGAGTGGGCTGTAAAGGTCCTGCAGGTGAATCGTGTCATGTATTCAGCAACAATTTTACAAAAGTATTTTTAATTTCCAACTTTGTTGAAATTAACAATACTTGAACTATTTTAAATTTCCCACCAAGTCCTTGTAGTTGTTTACCTCAGAGAACAGAGACATGTTGGTCCCGTGAAGAGTGGAGGAGTTGGTAAGGGCGAGGGTGAAGCTGCAGTGGTACGGTCGCCCTGTCACTGCCAGCTGGGACTGAGTGTAAAGCAGCTCCTCGCCTGAGTTCACTCTGTGGGATCCTGACCACGACAGAGTCTGAGAGGCAAAGAGATAATTAACAAGAGCTCAAGAAAGGAGATGAGGAAAGTGAAAAACTCTGCAGGTCATTCAAGGGAAACAAAGAATATATATAGTGCTCAACACAAAACTGTTTGACCCGACGAGACCAAAGACGGCCAGTTTAACACAAGAAGTGATGAGGTGCGGCAGTATCGCCGCATCAAGTCTTATTCTTAACAATTTATAATGTCTCCAAATATGAAGAGGAAAGAAAGAAAGCAGTGAGAACTGATGTGTGGACTCACAGGCTGTAGAGGACAGAGGCCCAGCAGCACAATGTGCTCTAAGCGGTCCCTGAGGTTGGTTTGAACTTTGGCCAGTAGTGTGTGTGAGGGACAGGGAGCTGGAGAGACTCTGTCCAGGCCAACGTTAACCTGAAGGCTGTGCATTCCCCGGTGAGCTTTCTGGAAACATCAAGAAAACATAAACAGATGTTCTTATTGATCTTTTATCATATAAGGTCAACGTCTTTCAGCGCATAAAACTGACTACCTGGTACTTTATGCCTTGCTTCAGGCTCCTGCTGTCCCATCTTAATTCTGCATTTTGGAAAAATGAGTTCCCCTCATGTGCCATTGAGACACATCCTTTTACAGATGACACGGCCATCTGTGCACGTACACACACACACACACACACACACACACACACATTAAGTAAGTTGATGCTGCACAAACTTCCTGACTATTCTGCACACATGACTGGTGACTCATGAGAGGTTTGCGGAGTATTTACCAACCTGTTGGGCTGTAAACAGAGCGCATGCCTGCCCCCTGCTGGAGTTGGTTTGCCACTGTTTGTTCAGGCTGAGAGAAACGTTGACAGGGACCACACCGTCCCATGACAAATGGGCCTGTATACAGATAACCCCCCCCCACACACACACAAACATTATACCCCTATCATTGTTAGTTTTTATACATTTATTGGCATTTATTAGTACTTTAGGTAAAAATCTTTTATCTGTAGTCTAAAGGGGTAACTGCAATTCTGTCTATGTGTTTATCCGTCATTTTATTGACCTCTGATTCTCTTCCACAGTTTGTTTTCTGTCCCGTCTTTCTCCCCTCACTCCTAACTGGTCGCAGCAGTTTGCTGCCCCTCCTTCACCCTGGTTCTACTGGAGGTTTTTGTTAAAAAGGAGTTTTTTCTTCCCACTGTTGCCAATTATTTGCTCATAGGGGGTTGTATGATGGGGGTTTCGCTCTATTATTGTGGGGTCTTTACCTTAAACTATAAAGCACCTTGAGGTGACTGTTTATGTTATTCAGTGCTATCTAAATAAAAATAAATTGAATTGAAATCAATATCGCAGACGAAATATAAGACAACTGTGTGAAGCTCCGGTTGTACCTGGTGGCTGCTGCGTCGGTCTCTGCGTGAGCTTTGCGTCAGTGTGTGCAGCGACAGGTGTCTGAGCGCAGAGGTGAATGGATGTTTCAGCTCCAGTTTGGTTGTATTTATGTCCTCCGAGCGACTCCACGAGCTCAGAACTCTGACCTTTAGACGACCCCATAATGCAGAAAAGAAATCCAGTTTATTAATGCCTGAATGATCTGTGTTTTACTGTCATAACCATATACATTTCATACACATTTCCATTTGGTTATGTTACAGTTTTAGAGTTTAAAGAGGAAGGAAAGCTAATAGCAGAGAGAAATCAACGTTGTTTTAATTTCGTTTTTCGCGTAATGACACAGCTTGTACAGTCTGACCTGCTCCAGTTGTCCATGCCTCATCCAGTCCAGCAAAACACTATCCAGTCCTGCATTTAGCGAACGCTCCAGCTTCACATCCAAATTAGTCAAACGGGGGATGCAGGTGATCTGAACTAACATCAGGGACGAGAGAAAGACTCAGCATCTTAAGTTAGCTTCATGATTTATCTTTTACTTTTTCCCCTTTAAGTTCTAACGTGGCCTTTGCAGATAAAACAACGAAGATCAAGCATTGCTGAAAAACTAAATGTTACCCCTGATTGTCTGGTTTCCCATCTCCAGTGCTGGTGGAGCAGAGTACAGACCAGACAAGCTGAACTCCTGGCTTCCCCACACAGCAGCTTGCTGAACTTGGTAGCTCCATTTCCGAGCCTCGTACACTGTCCTCACTGCAGCAGTCCTGGGGAGTGGCTTCAACTACACAACAAATCATATTTAGGATGTGGAACATTCATGTTCCACATGAGGGTTCATGTTGAGGGTGTGGACTGAAACAACATTCAGATTTTGACCCAGAAAGTCAATTTTTTCATTAGTTTTATTTTTTAATGGTTCCCAAAATCAGGCGAAATGCATCCACTGATAACGTAGAGGCCATTGCATTATTATTTTTTATTATTATTGTCTATAAACAATAGGACGCAAATATATGATAACCCTCTAGCACAACCATCCATCACTGCCAGTGAAAAGTGTCTGTAACCAGTGACTTGATAAAACTCTTAAGTAAACTTGTGCACACACTGTATTCCTAGTGAAGAGGCATTTAAGCTCAGAAATACCTGTGGGTACGAGTTTTTGACCTCTAGAAGTTGCCTGTATCCGCTCTCTATCGCTGCCAGCTCTCCAACAGCCCACAGCTTCCTCCTGCCTGACATCACCTCCACCAATCCCACCACAGTGGACTGAGAGTGGTTCAACTGGAGGCGGAAAGAGAGAAGAAGGTGCTGCATCAAAAGGATAGCCAAACAAAAGCAGTGCATTTGTAATTTGACAGAGGATTTGGACAGTGATGCACAGATTGTGTTTTGCAGAGTGTGTGTCTATTTGAGCTCCAGTTAAATGCAAAAGGAGCTCCTCTGAGAACTGAAAAACTCGCCTGCGTTCGGACATTGATCTGAGAAGGCAGGTAGACCAGCATTGTGGGGATATTCTGGACCACCTTCACCATCAGGTCCTTGCTAAACAAAAGGACATCTATCACTTTCAGTGTGTGCACAATGTGCACAAAGACAACTTACAATAATTTTTTTTAATTAGTGAGTGACTGATGTGTATTAACAGTACCTATGAGGGACATGGTGTCCCTGGACAATGAGTGCAAGTGAGGTGCTGAGTTCAGGGTTTACAGCCATGGAGCACCTCAGCTGTGACTCAGTAAGTCTTCCCCAGGCCTCCACCTGCAACAACATTCAGCGATAACAATATGAGAGTAGACTGCGAGCACAGAAGAACGAAGATGTTGGGATTAAAGGTGCGTGCTGACCTTACCTGAAAAGCAGGAGTGGCTTGTCCCTGTACTGTCTGTTTCAGTGTGATTCTGGCCTCCTTAGTTCCTCCATGTGCGCCCCAACCACCAACATCCCCCACCGCTCTGACCCTCCAATCCTGGCTTCGAATGTCTAATAAGGCGCTCCTCAGAGGACCTGCGGAGGATATCAGAGCATCACTGCCTCAGGGTTGAGTCCTCACACCTTCATGAGAATAACATTTAGCCAAAGCATCTTTTTGCTCCTGCAGGAGAGGAGGTACGGCCATAAAACAATTTATGAAGTAAAAGATTGACATCTGCTGGTCACTGTGCAGTATTGCACTTCATGGATAGGATTTAAGACAAAAGCGGTCAGCAGCCAAACGGGGAAAATACGAAGCAAGAAGTGCATGAAATTATGAAACTGGGATGAAGATTAAAATAAAATAGATGACTAAAGTAAAAGAACAACGTTAAACCCGACTTTTTGTCTGACCTTTGAACTGAGCAGTGAGGACGGCGTCCAGATGGCATTGAGTTCTTGTTTGATTGAAAGCTGGAGGAGAGTAGGAGAGGAGAACAGACAAATGTCCATTGGTGCCACTGAAATTCAAGCCAGATGTGAGCAGCTTGTGTCCCTCCACAGTGAGCTGAGCCCTGGACCGATGCTGAGAGAAGGTTCCTTGGATGGAGCAAAGACCCTAGCAGAGAAGAAAGTAAAAGAAGAAAGCAACTTGTTTTTGTCATTCATCTCATGAATTAATAGGATGTTCTGATTCTGGTTAACATTGTGTCTGTATGTAGAACCATTAGGTAGTTACCTCTATATTAGATGGCAGGCCTCTGTCGTGTAGCCATGACCAGCTGTGCCACATGGTTCCTCTTATTTCTTTGGTCATGGGAACATTTTTCATCTTAAGCCTCAGTCCTGCCAGCTGACCACCAAACTGGGACTGTAAGCTCATGCCTTTCCCCTCAGCAGAACCAAACTCCACCTGGACACAGTCACCATCCAGGGTTTAGTGCACGCTCATCTCGGTTAAATCAGGTGCCGTGATATACGGTCATGTATCCTTTTTAGTCTCCTACCTGGATGCTGTTGTTGACGGAGACTCCCAGCTTCTTCAGACAATTCACTGTGTGTCTAAAATGACTGTTTACTCTCACTGTGTCAGACGTCTTTGCCACAGACACAGCATGACTTACCTGCAGAGAATTCAGAATGTGAACAGCAACACTTTTTATAAAAATTCAAAGAAATACCACATTTTAATTCATCATTTGTCTTCCACTAACACCTGAGCACCACACACAGATAAACATCTGAGCTCTCTGATTTTCTTTAATCTGTTGTTTTTGTCTCCATATATATGTTTTATATTATTTATGTTTCGAGTAAAGGTATATTAATCTATATGTTGGGTCTTTGGCAGCTTTGAGCCACTATGGCTGTCCTTGATTTCACCTGAATAACAGTTTTTGTGCGTTCATTCTGGACTCACCATTTGATTTCCTGCACTGCTGTTGAATGTGTAAAAGTGTGAACCATTCCTGTGACTCCCAGAATTCATTGTCACTGCAGCGTTTAGCGGGAGACCCAGCTTCTTCAACAGGGGCACAGAGTGGTTTAGATTAAGAGTCGCTTCATTTTCGTCCTTCAACATAAGAAAAAGTAATTAGACATCTTTATGTCCCATGAACTTTCTGAGACTTCCTGAATTTCTATGACATATTCCCACACCTTGGTTTTATTGATCAACACTAAAGTTTGCAACCTGGCGTTGTCGATCGCCATTGAGAGCTGGGATTCAGCAGATGTTGAGGACACAACCAGGGACCCAGAGGCCTGCATCCTGTCTGGACTGCCTAACTCCTATAAAAAACAAACAGGAAGTAATTAAAGATCTGATGAGTAATACTTTTCTATGTGCATCATTAAGTATGTACCTGAATCATTGTACAGTTGTTGTGATACATCAGCGACCCCTGCAGGCCCAGCTGGGACATCACAGCTCCACTGGCTGTGACGGCACACTCCTCCATCTGAACGAGGGCTTCGGCGTCAAATCGTAGTTTTCCTGACCTGGTGCTTAGTCTCAGTCTGCTGTTTCTAGGCACATCTCTGAGAGCAGGAAGGTCATGGCTGAGTTCACCATCCACACTGAGCTCTGGCCAGGCCCTTGCATTAAGCCTCAGAAAACCCCTTCTGCCCTCCATATCAGTGCCCAGCATGAGTGTCCAGATACCCCGAGGATCCTGCTGTACTGACCCATTTATATTAGCCTTTAATGAATAAAAAATCATTGTGAGCAACAGTCAAACTCCTTTTTTCTCTAATATGTCTTTGACTGTATTGATAGAAAAATCAAAAACAAGCAATTCATGCAGCTTTCAAAATCCAAAAATGATTTATTAATCATTCAAAAGATCCAACCTGTAACAGAGGGCACATAGACTCCAGAGCCAGTAGCCACTCTGTTCGTCCTCTGGTTTCCACAACTTGAGTGGCTCTAATGTGACACGTCCCAACTTTGATGAAGAGACTTCCAGGCTGTTCAGGGCCTTCAGGAGCACTAGCATCCATAGAAATGATCTGTGGTAGACCCTGACCACTCAGCCAGAGAAAGGAGTGAGTAAGGGCCCCAGAGAGGTTTGGACTCCTGCAGGACTGGCTCATGTCTAGAGAGAGGTTCTGATTATCCGCCTTCACAGAGGCGGACAGAGTCAGCTGGCAAGGAATAACCTTGAGGAAGCCCCGCAGAGCCAGGGACACAGGGAGTTTCATTCCCTAAGGCACAAACACAGGTGGAGCATAATCATTACTTCTGAGAGACGAATACCCTTCAAAATGTTTTTATAGCTTTACAAGCTTGTAGCTGTATCAGTGGAGTTGTTCTGCTCTGCTGCTATGACAAGCTCGCGTTTGATCTTCTAATGGGCTGGAAACTGTATTTCAATGGAGACTACATTAACATAAACATGAGTGAGTTACAGAGGAAATTCCAGTTCTTCTAACTGTGATGAAAGAAACATGTATGTATGTATCACCACAAGGTGACAGCGAGATTCAACAACTTCAACATATTGGTTTAGGTTTCCACGAGCTGTATTAAACACAACTGACAGATTTACTCACCTGCAGAGGACAGAAGCTGCTCACATTAACAGTGTAAGAAGTCTGCTCAGTCTCTGTCTGTGAAGCCTTGACTTTCCCTACGTTACCCCTAAAGAAACAACGTCCGACCTCCAGGCCGACCTCCACACCAGGCAGAAGGGCAGTTGAGACGTTTAGGTATAGCTCTCCGTGGGTAGGAAATTGCAGCTTCTTTATTGGCTCAATTGAGTGCTGTACAGATGCCCGGAGACTAAGCTGAGGATCACAAGTTAGAGACAGGTTTAGACTGCCTTTCTGTGCTCCTTCAGCCTGCAGGACAGTGCTGAGATCTGTGGAACAGCCAGACTGAGTGATGGAGACGTTGAATGAGGTCTGTGGAGGCAGGAGAGCCTACAGAGGAGGGAATAAAAGATTACATTTATAGAAATCCTTCAGTTCAAATATTTAATAACAAAAAAATGTGAATTATACAAGGAGGTGTATGCAAAGTCCTAAAATCTCAGTCCAACAATGTAGCCTAAATATATTCAAATGGACACAGAACTGAGAAGAGCAAATACTTTGCTGCATCAAAGTTTTGATTAGGTGGTTTAATATTTCAGCTAAAAGGCAGATATCTGCTGGATTTCATTAGCCCAGTGTAAGTACAGCAAGCCTCTCAGAGTTTAATTGAAGGGTGGACGTCATATCTAGAGGATTAGACCACGGGTGTCAAACATAAGACGGAGGGGCCAGAATCGGCCTGGCAAATACTCCAATCCCGCCACACTGGACAGCTTTGGAAAATGTGAAGGAAGGCAGATATTCAGACTTTTAACTGTGTTTTTATAAGTTTTACATCCGTATCATTGCTGATAAGGCCTTCCCAGTGGCTATTCATGACACACCAAATGTAATTAAGTAATGATTACAAAATTAAATGACAGAAAAGTCATTTTTTTAATTTACTATATTCTATAGGAATTTCAGTTTTTTTAAATGGATACACAGGATATACTGCTCTATGATTGTACCCATGGATACACCTTTTCTCTAATTTTACATTTTATTTTTCAGTTGATGGTAGCATTAGAGGAAAGGTTAAATTGATCAAATCAAAAATAGATCCCAAGAGGACTATAAATATCTGCAACATATTTTATGGGGGTAGATTTAACTTTCACAGCTAAAGCTTTATGTTGCCCTGTGAGTGACCAGTCCTTAGAAAGTTACCATTCATTGAAGCCACTGAGCTTTTTTATTCATTGTTGGTGTTTTCAATGCAGCTCACACTGCAGTGGAAAACAAAGAGTCATCTCCAAAGTGAAGATGTTTCTTTTGCTTTCCTTCAGGTGGGAAACAAGTTTCCTTCAACTGCTCCTTGTTTCCTCTCTAACCTTTAGTAAGACACATCGCTCTCGGGCAAAAAGCATCCACCCTCTCCTCCTGCTCGTTCCCCCTCTGTGTTGACTGGTCAGTAGAAGCATGGAGCACACGTCACTTTCCACCTCAAACTGGGCTTGCCTTGCTGAGGTCGCCATGCTAACAGTGAGCTCCTGTGGTACACGAGCAGTAGCTAGCAGGTTTTGCTGAAGTACAGCTCTGAAAGAGGTGAAGGGCTCCCAGGCAGCAGTGATCCTCATCTGTGCAGAGCGGGTGTTGACAGAGATTCGAGCGCTTCCAGCAAGGGAGGTATCAAGAAGCTCACCTGAGCCATGACAGTCCAATCTGTTTGGGATGATTGTTCCAAGGTAGGCCCATTGGTGCTGGAGTCTCCAACCCAGCTCAGCTTTATGGTTCTTTAGGGATACAGACAAGAGGCCTTGGAGGAAGTCATGCTGGTTTTGAAGGCTCAGAGATCCTCTGAGTCCATCTTTTCCTCCCTGTGCATGCACAGTTAAAGAGGCTTTATGCGATCTACCCCCCTCTATGCTTTTAACCTGCCTCCAGACCAGCCGCCCCACCCCCGTACATCGAAGGGACACGACTAGACTGGATCTCAGAGAGTCCCATACTACACGAACATCTCCCAAGATGTGGCACCACCTTTCTAGGCTCATCCGTCCTGTCACTCTAGCCTTTTGAGTAGCACTGTGGGTTCCATACTCAAGAAGCCCGTGCCAGCAATACTGCCCAGGTCTCTCCAACCTCAGTCCCACATTCAAATCTGCTCTCCACAGACTGACCACTATCCCCATCCCCAGGACCCACCTCTCAGGGCCAGGCCGGAGGAGGAACCTAACACCAGATGTGGTGGGAACCCCCAAATATGTAAGTAAGAGCACAGAAGAATGAGTGAGGTTAGCTCTGAGCTCCTTTCGGCCACTGGAACTGTAACAGGCTTTAGCATGAGCACTAAGCCTTAAGTGAGCAAGCGAGAGGCCATAGCAGAGCCTGTTGTGTGGTCTATAGGAGCGAAAGGCTCGTACCTCCACCGGGCTGTCTGCCACATTTCCATAGCAGTGAGCGGAGAGCCTGTCTGTGGTGACGTCCCCTGTGCAGTTCATCTGTGAAAACAAAACCCCCGTTGGCAAAGTTTGTTTTTTGTTTCAAGGAGGAGATGGAAGAGGAATCACTGAACTTTAGACCAGCCACATAAAAATATTGCAGTGCCATAACATAATAATCTGAGCCCTTGTTATGGAACACATATGTTTAGTGTTGAACAGAATTTCTGTGTTTTTTAAGACACTAATGATCACTGAGTGCTCTTAGTTGTAACAGAATAAACTTTTGCCTTGTATACAACAATATTTGCCATTTGATTAAAAAAAAAATCACTCTTTGTTTTTGAGAGTGAGGCTAGAAAATCCTTCAATCTTTCATCCTTCCACACATAAAGATACATCTAGCATCTGCGCAGCTCAGCACAAGGGCTACAGACAGCCAGTCTGGCTCTTTCCTGTGGAAACAAAAACTGTCTGCTGGCACGTCAAAGATTTGTTTTACTGTACCTTTTTTCATTCATGGAACAAATAAGAACTAATGGGTTCAAAAGCTTCTGGAGAAGTGCTGTTGTCACACAGCGAGCGGAGGTGCAGCGTTTAGCGGGAGATTTGCATGTCGGGTTAATCGGTGAGTCTAAACTTGGCTTAGCTGTGACTGTCTCTCTCTTTATAGTAACCTGTAATGGCCCGGTGACCCATCAGGCATGTGCTCCACCCCAACACCTTCATTACTCTAACACGGACAAGCTGTTAAGAAAATGGACAGATAGCTGGTCCTGTTTATCTTAGGGAACTAACAATGTAAGTGAAGATCACAGATCCATATCTGTGTCCTTTTTGCATTTATCCATTTTGAGATTAATTTAAATGATTGTATCTGTAATCTTTCTCTGAATATAGATTCATAGATCATCGACCTTTTGGATGCTCACATATTTAAAGATCATGGGTAGGTACAAAGAAGTAATCACAGTTTTCCTTTTACAGTGATAGCCCGATTCTGTGAGTGTACATGTGTAAACGGTGTTAAATAAATATACCTGTAAGGAAGTGGGTACGAGTCCTTGGAGCAGCATCATCTGTTGCCATAGAGACACTACCAAAATAGGTGTTGTATTTATTGATCCAACTTTTAAAAGGATGTCAGCAACTCTCACATCTTCCATGTAAAGGACCAAGCCTGTGTCCAGTCCTTCTGTTTCTGACTAAGAGAGAGAAAAATAAATATAAGAATAAAGGAAAGCAGCCTACAGCTATACACCGTATATCCTGAGAAAGAGAACTTATTAATGCAATTGCTTCCCGACTACTTTATGCTCTTGGCAAGAATTAAAAAATAAAGGACAGTCCTGCACCTGGTAATGCGCTTTAGCCTCAAAGGAGGGTGTCAGGCCTCTTTTAAGCAGGGCTTCGACTTGGTGCTGCAGCCTAGAGGAGAATACCCACTGGGGGTTGGTGTGGTCTGTCCTGCCTCCATGAAACTCCGCTCTAAGACGTTCAAGTCCAACCTGCAGCTCTCCCAGGACTGATAATCCATCACCTTCCTGGGCCCATTTAGCCTCAAGACTACTGTTAGGAGGTACACCTGTACTCAGAAGACAAGGGAAACTCACAGACAGGGACATATATACATGTGTAGAAAGTGCTGCGTATGTATTCTTTGGCTATTGCAATGATCACCTGTGGCTCTCAGCACATGGAAAGAGTGAGAAAGTCGTGTGTAGACCTCTCCTGTGCCTTGATTCCCCTGCTGATGGCTTGCATTCACACACAAATGCTCCTCCCCGGACCAAACACACAGCCAGTCGTGGGTCCTGTGGGACCTCTTTTCCATCATCCCTTCTTCATCGTCTCCTTCCAAAGCTGCTCCGGGATCTCGCTGGTGTCGCAGCTCCACGCTGTACACTGTCTCCATCAATCTAACTCTCAGCTGTCCTGCAACAACACGCATGCATTACACGTCATTTGTGACGCTTTACAGGCAAAGGCAAGTTTAAAGTAAAGGACACAAGTTATGGTCTACCTTCGATTAAACTGTCAGACTGCCCCAATGCTCCATCCAACCCGAGGACTGGAGGCAAGAAATCTAGGCTGGTCACCGTGTGCCTCAAGTCCCCTGTCACAGCCATCTGGATCCCCTGTGAGTGTTTTAAAGACCCCTTGAGCTGGGCCAGCAGAGCCTGCATTCCCTGTGTGAAGGAGCCACGTAGAAAGACACTGGAGGAGACAGGAGGAAGATGATCATGGAAAAGAGGTCAAAGGTCCATAAGAGAAAGCAGGTTTTTTTTTAGAGTTAGTTACTGTGTGACTGAAGACTAGACTAAAGGCTTTTTTAAAATAACATAACAGACAAACCTGTCTGAGGACACGTTCCCTGCTATGTTTACATGTAGATCCGTGGCTGTAGGTAGCAGGCTCTGGGATAAGTTCAGCCTCAGCCCTACAGCTCTGTCTCCCGTCTGCATGTAGTGGGACATGTCCGCATTCAGCTTCAGCTTGTCCTTCCCGTCAGCCCTCACATGCACCGAGCTGCTCCCTTTGCCAGTCACCATGGACATGTCTGCAGACGCCTTCATATTGACAGGTCAAACAGTACATCGACTGAACTAATACCCCAAAATGAAAATGTTTCACATAACCTGAATTTTTTGCAAGATCTTAACATGTGTATTTTTAGAACGCTAAAGGAAAAATAATGCAAATCAGCCCACCTCCAATGTTTTGGGAATCTTTGATTTGAAGGGATGACGAAGAGATGAATACAGACCAACTCTGCCTGATGTTCCATTCAGCTGCACAGAAAGCTGACAGGAATTTCAAAAACAAACACGAAAGCCTTAGAAACCAGAAATTAATTAAAAAATGTCGGCTCATCAAATGCACAAGGTGTTTGCTTTACTCACCTGGCACTCTTGCCGCTCTATTCTTAGTTTCCCTTTGGCCTGGTAATCAAAGTCATTGTTGCTTTTTGGGGTCCAAAGTACATCTCCCTCTATTAAAGCAGAGGAGGGGAGCTGCAGCTGTAAAAGCAATAACAGATTAACCGGTCATAACTTTGGCCTCGTTACTGTAAACCACACCGTTCACTGTCAGCAGCAGACGTACATCATTTACTGCACTGCTGACTGCGGTCACCATCCAGTGCATCATGCACCTAAACACTTTTCTGAGGATAGAGCGAAGCCCGCTTACCTGGAGCTGATGGAAAAAGTTGCCTTTAACTTTTATTGCTTGGTGAGTTGAATGCGTAGGGTTCAGCTGAAGCTGCCCTGAGAAAGTCAGTCTCTCCTTGCTTCCAACTCGTAACCTCCCTTGTATATTTCTCTGGTTCTGAAGAAGAGTGCACAAAACCGAAACAACATCTAATACGTCAATGTTGCCAGTATGTTCCACTATTATCCATCTACACTATTCTTGGCACAATTGCCAAACTTATATATTTCAGGCACTTGTGTTTCAAAAGATACTGGATAAAGTTAAAAAATACCAAATACAATCAGTTCAGTTCAGTTTATTCATACAGCGCCAAATCACAATAACAGTTACCTCAAGGTGTTTTATATTGTGAGGTAAACACTACAGTATTAGAAAGAAAACCCCAACAATAAGATGACCCCTTATGACCAAGCATATGGGGAGAGAGTGGGAAGGAAAAACTCCCTTTTAACAGTAAGAAACCTCAGGGAGGGGCAGCTGAGGGTGAGGGGGGAAAAAGAGTGCTGAGAGAGCGAGAACAACACATACATCATTGAAGAGACCCAGAGATTAATAGTAACTAATAATTAAACGTAAAGAGGGATTTAAAAACATAGTGAGTGAAAAAAGAAATGCTCAATAGTCTCAGACTGCAGCACAACAAATCAAGGATTCAGAGGCAGATCAAAAAGGAACCTTTTAAGCCTAATCTTAAAAGCAGAGACAGCGTCTGTGTCACGAATCCAAACTGAGAGCTGGCTCTATAGAAGAGGCGCCTAAAGGGGCTAGGATACTTTTAAAATATCCTATGAACAACAAGTCAGCCAACAGTCTGAGAACAAAGTGCTCTGTTGAGGTTACGTGGTACTATGAGGTCTTTAAGATGGGCCTGATTATTTGAGACCTTTTATGTGAGGAGAGGATTTTAAGCCAATTTCTGGATTTAAGAGGGAGCCAATGAAGAGAGGCTACTATGGGAGTAATATGCTCTCTTGTTCTCTTTCTAAAGTTATCTTAATCAAGTGTTTGCAAAAATTTCACATTGCCAGTTACAGTCACATGACAGAAAAATTTAAATGTCACATAATCTTTCACTCATCATTTCAGATCTTGATTTACCAATTATGCTAAAGTGTGGAGCGCTTGCAGTGATGGACCCATTGGAGTCACAGACAATGGGCCTTCTCTTGGGGTTCAGCTGATTACCCTCTATGTTAGATCTTGTTTTTTTCCTTTAAAGGTTAGCAGGTTACCTGGTTGCTGGTTACGGTCACACAGATTTCCGAGTCTGATGGAATAGCGTCGGCGCTGAAAGGGTGGATGAGTGCAGAACAAACCTACATATGAGATCACATTTAAAGATGAGGATCACTGTTTACAGCCCACTTCACTCTTTCAAATGCCCAGGTGAATTATTAGCTTACACAACACTTACAAAAGGGCTCGGTGGTCGGTAGCCCAGGGTCAGAGTGTGGACGACCTCTCTGTTGTCACTGAAACCAGCTTTGGACTCTAGGACGTAGAGGCCATTGAGGAGGTCGACGGTGAAAGTCTCCCGGAGGAGGAGAGTTGGAGGAAAGGTCTGGAAGGGCTGTCTGTGCAAGAAGGAGACTATTAAAGTCAGCAATGTTCTTGCGGTCATTTCTCAAAATATCTGTAATCTGTAAGTTACGGCACAGACCTGAGCTGGAGCATGGCAGTTTTCTTATACATCCTTTTGTCGTTCTTCAGCTCCTCTACTACTCCCTCGAGCTCCACTTCAGTGGGTAGACTCTTTGGATTTGTGTAGGTCATCTTCAGAATCCCTTGCCTCTTTTTCAAATTCTTCATCACATCCAAATGAAAGGGCAGATTTGTTACCACAGCACAACCTTTAACCTTTTCAGGCCCTACGCTATCAAAATGTGCGATTTTGGCCTTTTAAATACAGTTGGTGGTTACGGGTTATCTCTCATGCTTGTTGTGATCTCAGACTTTTACAATCAACACAATATGATGGCTTCATTCTATAATTAAACACACATTTAACACGCCCAAACCACAAAAGCAGCCCAGCGTCTCCACCCACCTTATCAGCAGCGGTCAGGGCAGCAGCGAGGGTTACATTTTGCTTGCCATAGGTGGAGGCCATTTGCAGGGTGTGGCTGAATTTAGAGGCCTCCAGAGAAATGTCTCCTTGGAGGGGAGGAGTCCACAGCGAGCTCAAGGAGCACGAGGCCTTCACACTCCGCTTCCCCAGCAAACCCCAGCCCCACGCCTGAGGCAGGGCAGAGGAAGAGGCGTGTGTTTTTAAAGGTGGAGTTTTCATAAACACACAATATTTTTTTTAATCTTTATAATTACTTCACTCCAGTGTGGAAGTGATTTTATTTAAGCGTCGCCTTGAACACTTTTTTTAACCCACAAATTCAAAAATCTATTTTTATTTGATTAATAACTAAATGGTGATATTCAGGCAGAGCACTTTAGTCTCTCCTTACTTGGATGTAGGTGATTGCTGACGTGTAGAGCTCCAATCGGGCCTCCTTCTCTCTCCCCCTGTCCTTGTAAAAACCCTCCAGGACCAGGTTACGGATGGTCAGCCACTTGCTGGCTGTCAGCTCAGAGGTCAGCTGCAGCGTTTGGCTCTGCAGCTGGTTTAACTTATGTGCAGTGTAAATGTACAGCCATGGTGTGTCCATATTAAACGATCCTAAACGATAATAAGAAAAATAAGTAATCCTGATAGTCAACTTCCTGCAAACTTTAAAAAATAATTTAGTATATCAAAGAAATATAACGTAGGAATATGAAAAGAGAAAGTGGACCTTAAGCATGCTGTAATGTAAGATGGCTGTGAGTTGTTTTTACCCTCCCATATCTTGTGCAGGGCATCTTTAGGAGGGTTTTTCCAGTGTAATCCAGCCACCAGCGGCATCAGATTGTTGTAATTGATTTTTAAATGAGTGCTTCTCTCAGAGCCTTGCTGTGTCAGGTGAGAGTGTAGCAGCTGAGTCCTGTAGTTCATGTTTTTCTCCGGTGCCTGGAGATTGAACTGGAATAAGATTAAGGAAAGGGAAGGTAGCCGTATTAATTCTGACCACAGAAAATATTAATCTGCTGCTTTGGAAGTCATCTGGGATAAAAAGCCTCCCCCGGGCTAACAGAGAGAACGGGAAGCTCTGAATTCAGGTCGGGTTACCTCCAGAGTGTAGTGGGTGTGATTCTCTGTGGACTGGTTTTTGAAAGACTGGCTCAGGAGAAGCGTGTGTTTGTTGTTTATCTCATCCCAGTGTTTGCCGTAGCTAATATCCAAAGATGATTTAACATGGCTCAAGCTTTCCTCATGCCTGAGGTGGATCTGAGAAGGATGCACAAACAACCGGAATGCTTTCAATCACCCGGAGATAACTTGCGCCGCCAGCTTATGCTGTTTGTAATACATGAAGCAGAGCGGCTTCAAATTAAATGTGTCTGCGGGTACCTTATGGTTAATAGGAGCGGTGCTGGTGCAGTAGAATTCATGATCGGCTCTCATGATGTATGTGAGGTTTGCATCCCTCTCGCTCCTCACTCTCTGAGATGTGTAGCACTCCTGATGGAGGTGGCGAGCATCAACTGCAGGGAAGCCCACATAAAATAGGAAAGTGATGACCTGTCAGACATATTGTATTGATAAGAACTACTTCCTGCTTTTAAATAGCTCTATATAGCATTATTATCATTTTGACCTTGAGATCAATCTATTGAGCTTGATGGAGAGGTCAAAGGTCAAATGTGACATGACGTTTTAAATCTTTATATGGTATTTTCTTACTCTTGTAAGAATCATAGTTTGTAAGTTAGAAGCTTTTTGTCAATTTTTGACCAATAAGTCATTGAGTTGACGTCGAAGGCTTGGGTGGATGTTAGCCAAATTTGAATGGATTGTTAATATGACTCCACTCTGCACACCTACAAAGTTTGATCACAATTCATTCAAAACTGTTTGGGCTATTGTGTTTGCAGAAAAAACGTCAGGCACATGAACGCTACCAAACACATTACAAATCAATCTAAACAGTATAAAAACAAAGCTTTAAAAAGCGGCGTATCTGCGATATTTGTTAACTTTTGATGAAAGTAGATATTCCTGTTTTTAAAAGACTGTGTGTTTTGGGGTATAAACAGTTTGAAGTGTCCTGTACCATCTGCAAACGAAACCTCACCTCCCAAACCATACTTGAGCCTGAGCACAGAGCTCCACAGTGAGCCCCTCTGCTCCATCACCCCGAGCGTCTTGCTGCCGACTACACCAGGTAGGAGGAGCTCCGCCTCCACAGAGTACTGCTTGCTGCTGCCATCCCGCCTGCGTTCCAGGGCCACTAAAAGCACATATCACTTGCATGTTTTCTGCTGTCTACTGTCTATTGTAGCAGAGATTTTAGAGACAACTATAAAAGTACCCAACAGTGATGCAGGCTCTCTGAAGACATTTTTCACAGTGGCAGAAAAGCTTGTTTTGCCCCCCAGCCCACGAGTTATATTAGCAGAGAGGATCATGGGATGTCGATCGGGGGCCATCTTGGCTTCAAGGTGGTAGCGAGTCCTCTGCTCCGACAGGAAGGTCTGGGTGTCCATCAAACCCTGCAGTGGATGATATACATGTTTTTAGAACTGGGAAATTATTTAAGATAAAACTGATCGAATGTATTTTTGAAAACTTGAGAACAATATTTACCATGATGTAATGATGAACACCATCAATCATGAGCTCCAGCTTTGCTGACTTAGTGTTCCTCTCTTGCTCAAGTTGACCTGCAACAAAAACACAAAAAAAACAGGACAAAACACATTTTCATAAATGTATCCAAACACCGGGTGTGGTCTTAGCTTGTTCGTCTGGCCGACCATGTATATGGATGCTTTTCAGAGGATGAATGATCTTCAGCAGCAGTCTGCGAGGGCTGAAGGCCAGATCCAGAGACATGTCTCTTGGGATGGAGGACTGAGGAGTGGCTAGCAGGAGGTGGATGGAGGCCTCCCTGGGAAGCCAGGTCCCTCTCTGAAA